TGTTTGCATTCGGAAATGACATTTAGCGAGCCATGACCGCGCGCAGTTCCGCCGTGTCCGCTGAGCAGGAGAATCGGGGGACCCTCACTAGAGCGCTTTCTGTTTCCGCCGCGGGAGGGCGAGCGTCGAGCTGGAGACGCGAATTGCTATGTTGGAGCTTTCTCCAATGTATTCAAGATGCTGAGTCATAAAGCGCTAGTGTAGATGATCGATGGTGGGTAAAACCAAATTTTTGATTAGGATGTATTAATTTAGATTGTACCAGAAAACAAATAAAGCCGTGTATACACTAACTTTCCTAGGACCTTTCCAAAGATTGAATTGAGGCATATTGGTCTATAGGAATTAACTTCGTCTACAGGACGATTGGGTTTATTTAAAAGAATTATTTTACCTTTTTTCCAACAGTGAGGAAAATATCCAGCTTTTAAGCAGGAATTGAATATGGACAACATAAACGAAGACTTATATTGCCAGAGCTGCTTAACAATAGATGCAGTAATTTTATCTAATCCTGGTGCTGTTTTGGTTCTTAAATTCAGTATAATGGTATTTATTTCTTGGTATGTAAAATTTTGGTCAGAAGGGCCTAAATGAGGGCTGACTATACGCTCTCTTCGAGTACTAATTAGCTGCGAATCAGTTTCGGTACTATCCGTTCTAAAAAGATTATTGAGTATATACATAATGGATTCTGTGTGAGAGGTGGTGTATGTTTGATCCGTCTTAATAATAGGAGGTAATGGTGTAGTAGTGGTTATTTTATTAAAGGCTAATTTATATGGGATTCCAAATAACGATTTTTTAGTTGCTTAAAAAAAAAAACTGCCATGAGGTCATTTTGGCGGAAATAATTAAGTCTTTATAATATTGTTTATAGTCATAATACTCTCGTTTATAGGAGTTCCTTAATTCGAAGTTATAACATCTTTGATAGCGTCTACGATAGGCATTACGTAATCTTGTTTGTTGGAGTTCAGCATTCCACCATGGTGTTGTTCTTTTTTGTCCTTTTACATTACGTTCGCATTGTTTAATCCATCTATTAAATTTATCATAAAATTTAGATAATACGTGCTCTATTGATTCTTTATTTGAATGAATGATAATATTTTCAAACCATATGAGTCATGCCGGATTATGTTATATAACTTGACTAGTCCCTGTAATGTGATCTTTTTGACCGGTGTAGTTGTGGCATTAAACAATCCAAATGAAAGATATTGATGATCGCTTAAACTATCAATCTTAAGGACATCCCAGTAACCTGTGAAAGTAAATTTCCTGAAACGGCTGAAATATCTATCCAGATCGTGCCTCTAGCTGACTCAAAAGTGGGTAATGAATTCCTATTATTTAAAAGAAATAATTTTTTAAGAGTAAAAATTGACTTAACTCTTCTCCTCTATTATCAGTGATGTTCCCACCCCAAAGCGTATTTTTTGCATTAAAGTCTCCTGCGATTATTAACTTAGGGTTGCTCAAAGAACTAATTACGGAATCTAAATTTAGTAGATAATGTTGAAAATCTGCTCTAGGGGACAGATAAACGTTTATTAATATGATTTCTATGTCTGCATAATTACATTTAACTATTATCATGTCTGGAAGCAATGTAAAAATAGAACATGTTTTGTCCCGTACAATGATTTCACACTTTGGAGATGTCGCTGCTATGGTAGTATAATGTTGTGGAATTCCAATTACTTTATTATTATATACATGGGGTTCTTGAATAAAAACAAAATTAGGATTAATACCGCAACATGTCTCTTCTAGGTGAGCCGTAGCTGCTCTAGATTTTCCTAAATTAATTTGCAGTATTTCTAAACACTTCATTTTCTGTACATCCCTGCACACCACCTTTATACAAAATATTTACATCTTTGTACACCCAACTTTTCTGGTTCTCCATATACAAACTATACATTATGTACAGTATTGTTCTAAGTGGGGTACTCGGTGCGCCCCCTCAGACGCGACTCGTGGAACGCCAAAGTTCCACAAGCCGACGCTCCGAAGTGGTGCCGGGCATCCACTCGACGCGTCACGCAAGCTCGACAACGCTTGTCCTCTTGTCGAAAGACGCGACATTGCTCCGCCGCGTGACTACCTGCGCAGTTCACGCAGAACTCAGATTCAGATGGGCAAAATTTTTTGGTGTGTCCGTATGTGGAGCAGCGATAGCATTTAGGAACAAAAAAATGTTCATATAGTGGACACGAAGTCCAACTATAATGTTAAGCGTTTTACATTTTTGATTTTGTTGTATCCCGAAGGAGTAAGATCGAAAATGAATGTCTGATTACCAGATTTAAAAAAAAAAAAAAAAGTTCGCATGGTGAATTCGTCAGCCTCAATTTGAACATCTGGGTTCTGGGCCCGGAGAGTCACTAAAAATTCTGCTGACAGGAGGTCTGGGTCAACCCCAGACACCCTGAACTGGGGCCTCCTCTTTGCGGGTTTTCGAAGAACAAAGACATCTTTAGTGTTGGGGTGTTCATTAATGGCATCAGCCAGATTTTGTAGCCCTTCCAATGACGCCGACTGCACTGCAATTCCGTTCCTAATTTCTCTAAGTGTAACCTCACCAAGTCCGAGAGTTTGGGGTTCAAAGTGTTTCTTTAACATGACTAATATCCTTAGATGGTGAATTTGTAGGGTCTCGCAAGTAGACGAGTAGAGCATGGCCCATTCGCGGCACCTGTCCAGCAGGACCCGCGCTCCCTACAACCGCCGGCCCAGGAGGGACAATTGCGTTTATCTCTCCCCCTGACTGTGGTGCCCCCGATGATTTGGCGGCCAATACCTGAGCATACGTTGGAGATTTTGACTCTTCGGTTACCGTAGCACGAAGGGATGCAATCTCTATTTCCTGTTTAATATTAATGTTCAGCATTTGTGAGAAGAGTTGTTGGATTTGGCTGCCTCTTTCTTTGTTGATTTTATTTTTTTCATTACTCAGAAGTTGAATCAATTTCATCTGAATAGCAGTTACGGCATCTGAGAAGTTGTTTGATTCATTATCCGTAGTTTCTCCTCTCTTTCCTCCCCCAACGTCTCTTCCTCCATCTCTTCCTCCTCCCTCGTCTCCCCCACTTCCCCTTTCCCCTCCCTCCCCCAATGCGCTCGAACCTTCCTGCATGTTTCCTGACGGAAACACGAAGTCCAAGCTGCTAGCTAATCAAGAAGAACGAATGAGAGGGTGTCTTAATTGCATAGCAAAGGCCAGCAAAGAAGACTCCCAGCGATTACAAAAATAATACCACCGATCTCCAAAGTTTTGCGTTGTCAATTAGAGCCCCACAATCTAGTGCTTCACTAGATAAATCTATTTTTTTTTTTTAAATTCCAACGCGAAGTGGAGCCAGGAACACATCACCGTACCCCAATGAGGGGCACGGCGAGGGCTATGAATCTGGATCCAATTCCCGATAAAATTTTAAAGTTAATAAGGCAATTTAGGTATCAAAATGATCGCGGCGAATTTGGCTATCCTCCGACCCCCTCCTCTCTCTCGTCGCTGGCCCCATCCTCTCTCTTTATATTATTTTATTATCCTAAGTATATTTCTAGTGTATCTCTATGTACTGAACTGCATATTTTTAATATATCTCTATGTATTGCACTTCGCGTCTTGCGTTACTGATGAATATTCGATGTGGTTTTGTGGCGATGTGGCGAAAAATCAGAAGTTTGGAAGACCCACCCTTTCGTATTTATTTATTTTTATTTTTTTTTTTATCCTTTCTGCTTTTTTTTTTATTATTTTTTGGTCAATGTTAGATTTGCATGATACTCTTCATCCATCTTCAGATACTCTTTTATCATACTTTAATTGTTTTGTTATTACTTTTTTTGTGAGTTTGTATGTTTGTGTGTATGTTTTTTTTTTTTTTTTTTTGTGAGTGTGGGTTGGAGAGGTTGTTCTTCTACCCTGTTTACCTTTTTTTTGTCATGTATATGTATATATATATAGTTCTTTTATTTTTTTATGCTATTGTTTTGTAAGCCTCCTTGTGTCGTTATTAATCTTTTTTTGTTGTTGTTTTGTAGAAACCTTTTTTTTTTTTTTTTTGATGGGATTTGCCATGACACTGTTGTCGGTATCCTGTTTTCGAACAGTCCGCGACGATTCCGTGGGGTTGATGGGGGCCCGCCGTGACTCCACTGTCCTGTTTTTGGACACTTCGCGACCCTACCCCGAAGCCTAGGCCGGGGGGCGGGCAGGCGGCCCTGACTCCCCGGGAAGAAATCAGAGACCCACTGAGGACTGGGTGACGCTCGTCACCCCTCCTCCGCTGTGTCCTGTTCATTGTTGTACTTGTCAGTTTTTTTTTTTTTTTTTTCTGGGGGAGGTCCCGGTTTTTCCCCTTTGGAGTGGTCCCTTTGTGTTTGTACGTCACTTTGGTGGCCGGTCCCCATGTTTTTTTTTTTGTTTTTTTTTTTCCCTTTTGGTTGTTTATTGATGTAGACTGTTTGTTGCCTTCGAGTAATCTTGTTGGCGTCCTCGTTTGGTTTCAAGGTTTTTTTTTTTTTTTTTTTTTGACACTTTTTAGGAGGTTGCTTGTTTCTATGGTCTTGTCCTTATTCTGTTTTATTCTGATTAATTGCTTATCTATATGTTCCTATCCTTTTCTTTTCTCTTTTCCTCTTTTTTTATGGGTTTGGAATAGTTTTGTTTATTAATTCTACTATGTTCTCTAATATTTTTAGTTCATTTTCGCTTTGTACAAGTCTTTTTGGTGTCATTCGTTAAGCCTGATGAATTTTTTCTAAGAAGGTATCGCTAAGTTTTTTAGTGATCGGACAGTTTCCAATGTAATGTATAAATTCCTCTGCCTCCGCCCCACACTCACAAACACTGTGTTCTGTTTTTATTATTTCTTTAAAGTGATAGGGGAATTTCCCATGATTTGTTACGAGTTGTGTTTGGTGGTAGTTAGTTGGAAAGTATTCTGGGATGTTGTGAATTGATTTTATCCAGCTGTGTGTGTTTTTGTCCGTGTCACTGTGTCCATTCTTCTTCCCAAATATCCCTCATGCTTTTTTCTACCTCGTTCTTGATGTGTTTTTTTTTTTACATTTTTAATTCTATTGGTGTGCCTGTTTTTCGTGCTTCATTAGCCAATTTGTCTGCTATGTCATTCCCGTCGATATTCGAATGTCCTTTTATGTGGTGCAAATAGAGTTTATGTTTTAGAGGGATTCTTTTTATTGTTTCTTTTATCTTATGTACTATTGGGTTATTGTTATATGGGTTTTCTATTGCCTTTAGTGAAGATAGACTGTCGGAGTATATTGCAAAGGTGGTGTTATTTTCATATTTTAGTGTTTCCTTTAGTGCTTCCAGTATAGCGATCAATTCGGCTTCGTATATATTTGCATATATTGGTAGTTTTATTTTTTTCATAGCTATGATTGTCTCCGTTTGGTTCATTACTATACAACTGGCGCCCACTGATGTTTTTGTTACCGATCCATCGGTGTATATCTTATGGTCTGTTGGGATGGCGGTTTAGTTCTTGTTTCGGAAGGGGAAGCCCTCCAACTTTGCGGGGTGAGTCTTCCATACCTCAATTAAGTGCCGAGTTTTATTTATTTTTTTTTTATATTGTTTCCTGCCAATTATGTAATCTTTCTTATTCTGAAAAATGTTGAATGTTGCTACTTCCTTGTTAAGTGTTAGTTCAATTGGTTTTATGTTTGCAAGTATATTAAGACTTTTGTTACTAACAGTCCTGTAGGCTTTGACAATTTTTATAAGTGGTATTCTTTGTACCGAAGTCATTTTTCTAAGTAGGTGCGAGTTATTGGTGGATTTCCAGTAAACTGGTGCTGCGTAAACTATTGTTCTTTCGATTGATTTTATATAGATATCTCTGAATTGTTTAGGTTTCATTCCCCATTTTGTTCCTGCAAATGTAGCGAATTTAGTGGTATTTTGGTATATTTTAGATTTTAGGTAGTTGGCGTGCTGAATAAATGATAGGTTTCGATCGAATATAACACCTAATATCTTGAGCTCTTCCGTATGTTTAAGATTCTTATTTCCGAATTTTACTTTTGGTGGCCTTTTTTTATTGAGATTTTGTTTTATTGAAATTAACTTTTTTTTCCTTGCTCCAATTGTCTATGATTGCTAATGTTTTATTTGCTCTCTGTTCTATTTCGAGTCTATTTTTGCCTCCGATTATAATTGTAATGTCGTCTGCGAATGCTTGGATGTAAGTTCCTTCTTCAAATTTAAGGTCTAGTAAGGTGGCGATAAAAATGTTCCATATAAGAGGGCTTAATGGTGATCCCTGCGGGCTTCCTATTGGGGAGTTTATTGTAATTTCTGTAGCGATTAATTTATAATTTATTCTTTGGTTTAGAATTGTTTGTAAAAGCAGATAGAGGTTTTTTGGAAGTTCATATTCCTTTAATTTTTTTAGCACGAAGGGTATCCATACTGTATTAAATGCGTTAGATATGTCTAGTGATATTAGTATTGATTTTTGATTTGCGGTTATGTTTTCTATAAGAGTTTCTTTTATTTTTAGTAGTGCCATGGTTGCTGATTTACCGTTTGTAAATCCGTATTGTTTGGAGTGTATTAGGTTTTTGCTATGGAGGTGGTAGTAAATTTGATTATTTAATAGTTTTTCTAGAATTTTGCCGAATTAATCCGTTCATGCACGTCACTAATTAGATGACGAGACATTTCGCTTTTTTTTTTTTTTTTTAAGCAGGGGATTGCCAGCCACCAAATGCCTTCCTGCACCCGGCCCCGGAACTTACAGGGCTAGGTTCGGACTTGGGGCTGGCAAGACAACCCTGAGTCTTCCACTCTGTAAGGGCAGAGGTACCCGAAAATTGCTCCCACCGAGGTGGGAGCCAGCTGAGCCATGATGCCCTGACTTGGGCGCTTCGCCCACGGGTATTACCCCGCGGTGGTCATAGTGCGATGGGCCCAGAAACACCGCATCCCGCCCTGCAGACACCGCACGGAGATGAGCTTGAGGTCATTGTCCGTCAGGCCCAGGCTTTGTAAGTCCCGGGCACTTTCTGGTGACCAAACGCCTCTGAAGTTAAGGGTCACCGTAGTGACAGTGAGAGAGCCTGTCCTCTCCCCCTGGACCAGCCGTCGCAGCTCCACCCCGGAGTATTTGTCTTTCTTCTGGTGGTGGAGGAAACCCAATCCCATCCTCGTACCGACGACTTGAGTGTTGATGATCAGGGAGTCCTCCCCCTTATAAGCCACCAGATCCGGTTTGAGAACTTCTGGTAGGGTGTAGTGGGGCTCCCACAGAACGGACCATGCGAGCTGGCTCAACCGACTGGACACATAGCGGACGAGGTTGTCGTGCCTCATGGTCCGATTGCGGTGTCCTCGGTGGCAGCACTGTAGAACGTGCCCCAAGCTTTCAGGGGCACAACAGCCAGCTCTGCAGGTCACATCCCGTGGGCGGCCCCGGCTAGTCCTCTCCAGGGTGGGCTGAGCGTTGATTCTCAGCTTGATGAGGTCGATGAACTGGCGCCCCGCAGCAAACTGCTTCCCTCCGAGATCCACCGGTGAGCTGCTGGAACCCTCCAGGAGTCGCGAAGGGCCGCCCCGTCACAACTCCGATGCAGCCGTGCCGCCCACATCCTCTGAACCGCCTTCTTGTCCAGCAGCTCGACGCCTTGATAGTAGCAGGCGTCCAGTGCCTTCTGCCGGAAGCCCACCAGAAGTGGGCAATGCAAAGCCTCCGCACAGCCAGGATGGTCGCTGAAGCGGAGGCCCTCGATGCGGCGGAGGCACATGGATGGAATGGACGCCCGCAGGGACACCACTCTTAGGCCTCCCTCTCCCACGGGGGCATGGAAGTACCCGAGGGGGACGTCATGGGGGAGGGCGAGCCAGCTCCGCCGGGCTGCTCGGACCTTGGTGTCCAATTTCTTAAGGAGCCCCACCGACCAGGGACCCAGGATCAGGCGGTGAAAGAGGCGGGGCAGCAGGTAAGTCCGCAGCACCAGGAATCACTGCTGCGGCTTGAGAGGCGCCTTCCTCACTCGCTCCACCTCCACCCCAGTGGATCTGGTACCGTCAGGTGTGAAGGATACACCCAGGTACCTCCAGACAGAGGCAACACCACTGACGGGCAGGGGCTCGCCGTTGATGTGAAAACGATTGGTGGTCACGATCTTGCACTTCTTCTCCCTGGCTGAGGTCTGGAGCGAGAGCGTAAAGCTCTTCGCCACGTTGATGGTAAGGCCTCTCGGGGACAGGAAGGCAGCGAGGTCGTTGAGTCGCTGCTGCAGCCCTTGTGGCGTCTATGCGCAGACCACCAAGTCGTCGGCGAAAGCCATTGCGTCAACGGTGAAGTCTCCACTCCTGAAGGCCACCCGGGTATCCACGCTGCTCAGGAACTCGTCCAGGACCATGTTGAAGAGGACTGGAGACAGCGGGTCGCCCTGCCGCACTCCCGTCGTCGGCTGCACCACGAGCTCTTCCCCTCCGTACTGCAGAGTAGTGTACGATGTGGCGTAGAGGTCCCGGAGGTACGCCAGGAAGGAGTCATCGAAACCAGCTCGTAGTGCTCCACGCAGGATGGCCTCCATCGTCACCCGGTCAAAGGCCTTCGCAAGATCCACAATGGTCAGATGGAGGGGGCGCAGCTTGCTGCGGGCCTCATCCAGCACGGTGGATAGCAGCAGGATGTTTTCTGCACATCCATCCACCGGCTGGACACACGCTGCCGGAAGTCCAGAGGTGCAGCGGCCATGACCCGCTTAGCCAGGATCTTGTGGAAGAGCCTTCGGATGACCGAACCCACGGTGATGGGACGGAAGTCTGACGGGAGGGCAGCCGGGTTCTTCTTGGGGATGAAAGTGGTGCGGGCTGCACGCCATGCTGTGGGAAGGCGGTGCAGCAAGAGGAGCAGGTTGATCAGCACCCGCAGGAGGAGCAGGGGCACGGAGCGCAGGAGACATGCCGTGAAACCATCAGGACCTGCCGCCGAGTTCTTTGGCGGCAGCGCCACCTTGATGTCCTGGGCCGTCGCTGGCTGGAAGACGTCGACTCTCTGTGGGGGCAAGGACACCGGCTCCGGGGGAGGTGCCGGGGGAGACCCCAGTCATGAAACTCCTCCATTCCAGCAGCAGGCCCCGGCAGTCGGTGATCGCTGACTCGCACGGGCTGTCCAAGATTGCCCGTGCGCAGTCCGCCTGCCTCCTGGCAAACCGCTCCTGCGTCGCTGCGTACTCCCGCTTCTTTCTCTTGCGGCGACTTTCTCGTGCTGGCTGCCGGAGGGGACGTCGCTGTCTCCGCTGGTGAGCAGCGGGATCCACGAAGACCTCTCGAAGGTAGTCGTTGAGACTTGGGAAGATGTTGACTCCCAGAAGAGCCCTCTGGGCGAGGTCCCACAGGCGAAGGCCTTGGAAGACTGCTGGGGGCGCCCGGGTCAGCAGCTTGCGGAGCTCCTCTCGCACCCTCTTCTCCGACGACTCCCGAGACGGGTCTCGCAGTGGAGATGGGGGTCTCCGCAAGATCCAAAAGGGGGTTTCACTAGGCGAGCGGGATCGCTGGGGCTGCTGCACCACATGGGCCACAACACCACCAGGTGTCACCGCGTCTCCCAGGTCATCCCCCCCCCCGAGATGGCGGATCCGGAAGCCGGGACGTCCCCGATGACTCAGGCAGCATCACCTCCAATGATGATGGAAGACGATCGCGCCGGCAGGAACGCAGGGGGCGCTTGAAGAGAGTCATAGTTACTCCTGCCGTTTACCCGCGCTTTGATGAATCTCTTCACGTTGACATTCAGAGCACTGGGCAGAATACCCTGGACAATTGTTTTTCACCTAAATGTTGGTTACTGTATTATAGATGGTAGCTACCATACCAAAACTCGAGTGGGTACAAGACTTATTTTTTATCTGGCGAGGTGAGTGCCTGTTCTCCACCGCGCGAGACATTTTCAGAAAAATGAGCTATTCTCTGCAGTACCTATTTTTATTTTGTATTCAAGTTTACCTGTGTTTTCATTCTATCCTAGGAGGATAGTTTTCTTTTTGAGAATGTATACTGTATGTCGAAAATCCGGCCGGTGCACGGTTCTGACGGTTACAATAAATGAACAAAGAGGGGAGACAGGTCTTTTTTTCTGTGCCACCCGACATGGAGACAGACCATCATCAACAATGAAGATACGCCCTTGAACGGACATGCGTCCATCACTGCACCCGATGGTCACAGGTTTAAAAAGTGTCATCAGAGTTCCCGTTTTCATTGGCCACTGAAACTGTGTTCGGTGAAATGTCCGGACCCAGGCTGCACTCCATCCCATGGATTGCATGCAGCATGGTCAAAGGCAGCACACCACTTTTTTAAGCAGTGGAGTCACTAAGGGGAGGAGGGCTTGTGGAGTGCCACCACCCCGGGTGCCGCTGATCCCATTGCTTCTAAGTGCTTTGTTTGGTCGAGCACACGGTAGAGAAAAGCACATACGCTTTAAGATACCGTATTTTCCAGACTATACATGTTTAAAAGTTGAAATTTCTGGCTGTGCGGACTATCTATGCGTGCGGACTATACAGGAATTATGTTTTTCAAGATTGTTTATTATGACGAGACGTGACAAATTTTGTGCACGAAAGTGTTTGTTAATGATGATTTATGCACATTATAGGCTTTATTGTGAGCTAAAAAGCAGACATTTGTAAACGTGTGCCGTCTATGAGAAGATTTTCGTGTAGACTAAGCACCAGGTGCGGACTATGCACCGGGTGCGGGCTATGCACCGGGTGCGGGCTATGCACCGGGTGCGGGCTATGCACCGGGTGCGGGCTATCTAAGCAAAATCTTTTATTTTTGACCCCAAATTTCTCCCTGCGGACTATACACCGGCTGCGCACTATAGTCCGGAAAATACGGTATTCTTTTCTTCCCTTCTCTTCGTGTCACCTTTCGTATTCAGCTGTCTCGGGTTGCTTGAAAATGTTCACATAAGCTGTATGGACTCCCTCTTGTGCCAGCAGTGCCGTACAGTTACAGGCCAAAAAGCTTGTTTCAAAAGCACAGAGCCAGTGAATAAATACATCCTAAACATAGGAGCTCATTCCTTCCAAGAGTTTGCCTGAATGAAGGATGCCCAAAACCACTTAGAACACATTGGTCACATATCCACATTAAGCAGCCCATTTCTGTTGAGCACTATAGCACCAGAGCCAATGTGCACTTATCCCAATACTAACCTAACCGTCTGGAAGCCGGCAACCATGCATAAATTAGTAATTAAAATGGCTATTCGGGCTAGTTAATTTGTTCATTATCATGTTCAAAGTGCCGAAACCACACCAGGGCACACTCGCAAGAGTTGTTGAAAAACCTATCTCTTATATACTCTTAGCCACTCGTACATCCGGCGCAGCTCCTTTTGCAAAAAATGCATACTCTTTTGCCGATAGTGACATAGATGTGTCGTTAATACAATCTATACCATGTTCCTTTATTTCAAAGACCTCGTGCAGCTCCCTCAATATCCGATCGGGATACTTAGCCAAAATTCTTGTCTTGCCAGCTACCATTACAAGTATTTGACAGCGCTAGAACTGCACTATCAGTTTTTTCGTGCTAAATTCAGACTGCGTGATTAAATACTTGAGGGGCGATGATCACGGTATGCGAAGTGTTTTTGATGACAATCTTTTCTATTTGATCGAGCATGAACCCCAAACTGTTTATGTCAGAGTGTATAGAAAACAGCGCTACACCGTTTCAAGCCTCTCATGGCATTTCAATTGACAACTTTTTGAAACCTTTGGCGTTTTACCGAAAGAGCATGTCTCTCTTTTGAGGGAAATCTGTTTGTGCAAAAGAGGAATTTGCATTGGTTCGTGTGTGGCGCCGATACTGTCCAATATTTTTCTAAGTGCGGGAGGAATACAGTGTCCCCCATTTATAACGATACCACATATAACAATGTATTGCTTATAACTAGGGTTCGGAGTTTTCGGTTTAAACCGATAAATACCGATAAAAGTATGCCGAATTCATTTTCGGAAATTCGGTTTTAACCGAAAAAGGTCAGTTTTTAGGTTCGGCATTTTCGATTTAAACCGATAAAAGTTCGTCGAATCCATTTTCTAAAATTCAGTTTTAACTGGAAAAGGTCAGTCGCACCGCAGAGCCGTGGCGAAAAAGTGGAACGACAGTGTCTATCGAAACGTGTCCGGATGTATCAGATACACGAATGGCATCACAACGTTTTGGTTTAATGTGCACATCATCGATCGGAACGTGAATTCCGAAATGCCCTATGACTTCGCCATGCACGAACGTGTTTTCAAACTCGTTGTAAGGACGACTGACTTGATGCTAGCTCTGCATGTTGTGTTGTGCCTCAAAACGTCGCACCGTGTCTCTTTTGGCGGTCACAATCGGTTGATTGTCCGATTTTAGCTCAGGCAGCGCTTCATCTCCTCAGCCTGCCAGTGTCCAGTGTTAGCATTGAGAATGCATTCTCGAAGCTCAGGGTCATACTAACAGGAAAGAAAGAGTGTGGATCAAGGACGAGAACCTGGGAAAGTACATGTGCATGTACTATAATAAAATCACATAATCCTGATGTACAGAAGGTGAAGTTTAATGTTTTTTTGGCATAGGCTTCATATCTGACTTGTGTGTACTTCTGTTGTTTTTTCTTGTTTTTTTTTTTTTCTTTTACAGTTGCACACATTTGCCTAATAAAGTGCCCATTTCTCTTTCAATGTATCTGTGCCGTTATTCTTTGAGTGATCACAAATATCAGAGCTACGTACAAAGATCATCTGATGCGGTGTCCGTTGGTGTTTATTTTATATTCGCCGAAAAAAAACGATAAACTTTTTGGACATAAGTATACACCGAAAAAAAAACCGAAAATTCAATTTTAAAATAAACACCGAAAAAAGTACGCCGATTTTTGAAAAAATAGAAACTGAAAACGCAGAACCCTACTTATAACGATCAGTTTCTAGAATTTCTAGTCTAGAACCAATCAGATTCTAGTCCAGATACAACGATCATCGGTTATTACGATTGAAATTTCGGGTTTTTTCATTATTATAAGTGGATTGCAATGTATTTCTGAAAAACTGAACAACGTGAACTGATTTAAGGGGGGACTACCCAGAAAAAAAAGAATTCTGCAAAAAACACTGATTTTGAAAAATTACATATTTACATTCACCATCTAGGAGTATTCATAGAAATTTTCACTATATTAACTGCATAGTTATTTTTTTATAAATTATTTTCTGTCCACCGAAGCTAAAGATAAGGTAGGGTTTGGAGCATTTTGAGCGCATTTTTCTCAGTTTCACTTTTTGGTATAAATTCCATTTTAGTCAATCTATTGTTTGATATTGGCAATACAGTAAATGCTCCATTCTTCCCTTTTCCCGACTAAAATTTAACAAGGAATGTGGCTATAGAATGTTTTTGTCATTTTACGGATGTCTTTTACAAAAAATGTTGACATTTTGTCGTAGACACAGAAGACCAAAAAGTTGACCAATTTTGCAGAAGAGAAAATGGATAGAAATGACTTTTTACAAAAAACTTTCCATAGCCGCACCTCCTAGGCATTCTGCTAGATATCTAGCGAATAAAAATCTTGAATAGTGCGATAGTTTTCCGACGATAGATTAACTAAACAATGTAGGCATGTTGCTGATAAAAGCTGCCCCAATTTCCTTTCCACGTAACCGACAGACCTGTACTGTGCTGTTTTGACGCTGGCTGTTTTGACCGTGCTGTTTTGTCGCGTGTTGTTTTGTCGTGTGCTGTTCTGTCGCGTTCCCAGCAACAGTCTCATGCAGCTTATTACAGAAAACCTAATCTGAGCTGTCGATGAAACATTGTGCATGTCGTTGAAACATTGCATGTCGATGAAACATTGTTCGATGAACTGATTGCCACTGCCACTGCACATGTACAGTCAGCAGCAAAAGTTTGCAGGGAGCGGGAGCGTCAGTCAAAATGACTGGTTGCACCTTCAGACGGCGCGCAGCCGCTCTCGAGTTATGCTCGCAGTAATGTCTTACTCGCAACCGCCCAGAGTGCACGAGACAACCGGCACAAGGTGCCGCTTTGTCAACCATCATGCCACTTTGTCGGCCATCATGCCGCGCGGCCTCTGACACCGTGATGGGTGACCGAGCTCGCGCATGCTACAGATAACATTTTGTGGCACCCTGCACCAGTTCCTGTTATCTCGTGGGCGTCGAACGAAAGCGAGAAAAAAACAATCTCATACAAGAAAGGACAAAGTCAAATTTGGGGGTTTTACGTGCCAAACCTACGAAGGGCATCTCGCACGCCCCAGCGGAGGACTGAGGATTAATTTCAACCACCTGGGGATCTTTTGACGTGCAACCGAAAGCTCGGTTACACGTCAATCTGACGGACGCAATAAGCCTCCGTCAGATTGCGGGCACCTCGGCCGGGATTCGAACCCGCCACCTGGGGGATCCGTAGGCCGGCGCTCTCGCCTCGGAGCCACCGAGGTGGCTAATTTATACAAGAAAGGAAGTGGAAGCGCTAGCCTTGAGAGCGGCAACACGCTGCGAGGAGCAGCAGCCTGTCTTTTCAGCTGCGCTCCCGTACCCTGCAAACTTTTGCTGCTAACTATACACCATCATTTGGTGATACCAGAATTTTGGCTGGATATCCTGATCTGATATTTAAAGAGCTACACGAGGTCTTTGAAATAAAAAAAAGGCATAGATCGTATTAGCGACGTATCATGAGCAAAATACTTTTTGGAAAAGGGGCTGCACCAGATGTAGGAGTGATTGTTTTACCACAAGTATGTAAGAGATGGGTTTTTCAATAAATGTTAGTAGCAAGTGCGCCCTGTTCTCGTCCTTTTTCTTGTTGTCCTTGTGGTTTCGGCCCTTTGAATGTGATAAATTAACCAATCAGAAAGTTTGGGGAAGGGGGGGGTTATGCAAGACGAAGGGACCGGGACATCCCCGCCATCTTGTATAGCCCCCCCTGGTTGGTTAACCCACCTACAAAAACTATACTGAACCCAGTATAAATGTGGACAGGAGGACATGTTTTCCAGCAGTAGTATATCAATGCTTTAGATTTAAAGAATCAATACACCACTACAGGAAAGAACTCTTCCTGCTCACATTTGTATTTGAACAAGTGGAGTTCTTGTGGAGAGCTTACAACCAACTAGAATTTCAGAATGACAGGTAGCAAACAAATGAAACAAAAATTTATTTATTTTTGCTCTTGCATAAGAAGCTGATTTTACAGACACAGCTGCACAGATATGTTTAACTTGCAAATTCACGCTGCAGTTGTGCTTTATGACCGTTGTGACCAGAGGTTGATAAGTTTCTTCTAGTCTCTCATTCGAATAAAAAAAAAAATATTGCATATATGTCTCGGCAGACTTGAGCAAGCATCGGTGCGATGCAATACAAAAAATTTATACGACTAGAACCTTGCAACGGTTCGAAACTCAAAATATACTATGGAAATAGAAAAAAAATGTATGCTAGATATAGAGCATTTTGTCTTGTACATACTTATCACTTTGAACTTGGCCCTTGTATAGGAAACTTGTTAGAAAAGATAACAAACTGCACAGCAGTGGCATTGTCACAAACGTTTGTGTGTGAGGGAGGTGGGTTTGGACCTTGAAACCTCCCCCCCCCTGCCTACGCCACTGCCGTACAGATAAGTTGGCAGTCCTGTTAGGCACCATTCACGACTTTTTTTTGGCTGTCTTGGGAGATCCCGAAGACAGGATCTTTACAACGCACTCTCCAATGGCTTCGTGGAGCAGCACCATCTCCCTGTGGATGCAGGCTGACATGTCCCTGCAAATATTGCACAGTCTTCGCTAGTGCAAAAGGTGCTATCCGAGTGGCACTACACAAATTGTTCTATACACATTTTCACCTTAAGCAAAAAAGCAAGTTTTGCACACTGTTCATACGCCGTGTGAAGAACTTACAAGATTTGGTCGTAGGAGAAAAAAGCAATGCTTCTGGCCTTTGAAACTTGCAAGTCTCGATAAGATAACACACTGTCACGAGCGCCACAGCTCGTAGATGGTGCCACCGGGTTGGCAAGACGTCCGAGCGGCAACTCCCGTCACAGGCATCTTCTGGTTGGGCACTCAACCCGACAAGAAGTCGGAACTAGTATGTTGTGTAATCGTTGGTTAAATAAACCCTATGTATCGTTCGTGAACACGATACATATAGCTAATATAAAAGGCACTTGCAAGTATCTGAATTCTCAACATAAAGGGGGAAATTAGTCGTGTTCCACGAGGAACAGTTTTTTTTTACGAGGGTTCTCGAGGTGAAAACGAGCATGGCGTTGCAGCCCAGAGCCCGGGCACTGAATAAAGAGGAGACACTGTACGGAGGAAGTCGAGATGCTTTCAAAGCAATAACATGCAAAGCGCAACACTGCTAACGATAACAGACGATTGCCATTTTTTTTTTTTTTTTTAATGTTTTCCACTACGTGGCATTGAAAAGATGTCACCAAAACTGCTACATTCCAGCAGAAGACTAAAGATTAATGCAATCAGAAGCTCAGTTACACAACGCCTTCTCCGGAATAAGCCTCGGCCGGGATTCAAACCCGCCACCTGGGATCCATAGACTGGCACTTTACCTAGGAGCTGCCTACCCGAAAGATAGAGCTTAACATCAAGAAAATCACACTAACAGCCAAATTTTATGAATTTGGATTTCATGGTTCAGATTTCAAGTAGGTATACGCTGCCAACGCAAGACTAAAAGATGGCAGAAACTCAGAAGGTCGCAGACTCACTCAAACAAATCTTGCACCTACTTGTGTGCACCGTTGAGGAGGAAGTCCAGCATCTGCGGTCCGGTCACTCCACTGTGAACACTCCTCCCAGCTTCCTACCAGAAAATTGACGAGATAACCCGTGACCGCATGATGACACACTAGCCAATAAAAAAAAAGCAGGTGGTACATGTGCACCTCATTCAAAAATTACACATTGCTAGAAGGAAATTCATTTAAACAGATACCATACCTTGCCGCATATAAGTCAACCTTTTCAGAAATAAGCATCTCAAAAATGGGTTGAATTCAATGGAAAAAAACTTTTATTGGGCAGAATTTGGGGGGTTTAGGTCAATATTCAGTCAACCTATACACGGCAATATACGGTAGCTTAAAGCAAACTTTTGACATGGGAATGAGACAACAGCTTCAGAATTGAACGAACAAAGGTAGAAAAGAGTGGTTCTCCATTCAAGAACCGGCAGTGGTCTCCAGGAGCCAGTGCAGCTCGCATTTTTAGACATGCAAGACAGCAAGCAAAAGTATAGATGTCCGCTAAAATATTTCCAAGATATATTTTAAGTTTGTTGGCCATTTGACATAGACCACCTTCATACTGATTTATTAACTGACGACTTTTAGAGCCATCAAAATCAGAGAAAAGTTGCCCTAACATGCCACTTGGCTTTCAAATAAGCTAATATCACACTGAGCATAACCTAATACCAGTCGGAGCTAGAGGAAAAAAGAGCTTTAAAGGGGTACTCCACTGATTTTTTTAGCTACCTCAACTAACTATATTTTCTGACTCCCCGGCCTTTACTCTCTCCGGTATGCTATTTAGAATCGCGAAATTCATAATAGTTATTGCAAAATGGGCAAATGAAAATGATGCAAAAACCAACATTCAAATATACGCGCGCTTTTCAGGGCCGTGACGTCAGTGGCAGGCAGGCTTGCCAGTCGAGCAAGCAGCCAAAAAATAGAATATGCCAATCATTTGTTCCGTGCTGGAGCACGGGTACTGCAGCGAGCTTCCCAAGCATTCATTTGACACCATGAAACTGCTTCGAATCAGTTTAAAACGAAATCTACAGCCCAAAGAGTGAACCCCTGCCTTCCACTGACGTCACTTTTTCATTGTTGCCAGTAGAGACTTCGAGCTTGAAAAACACGGTGAGGACCAAAACTGTAAATTCAATAACTTCGCGAAAAAACAATATTTTGACTTAATATTTGGGATACTATTTTAGCGATGTTTGTTGGTTAGTTTAGCAAAATTTCAAGCAAATCGGAGACAATGAAAAAATCAGTGGAGTAGCCCTTTAAGTAGAGAGCTTTAGTAAATTCCTTTTGCACTCCAATAACGATACAATCCATAAACAAACGCACCAGCAGAGTATCAGGTCTTATCCGAACAATCTACAAAGTTTCCCGATGGTGCAGCAAAGTCAAGTTCCGAAACTCTAACCTATTCTACCCGCCTCCAATGAACCATTCAAACAGTGTTTGAGCTCTGTACAATGTGCAGTCCATAAATGTCCCACAATAACACTTCACTTTTCTCAATCTGACCCTCTATAGGAAGAGAGAACTTTTTCAAACTGACAGAACCTCTCCAAATATCAGCCGATTCAACATCACCAATACCCTTTGCAACATTCAGTACCATCTGGTGGCTCAAATAGCATTTACCTTTTGTTGTACTAATGACGGTAATCGACCCGTTGTCTGTAGTGTTTTGCCAGGCACCATCACTTTCGCTAGTCAACGGCAGACAAAAATGTGTTCCTTACCTCAAAATTCTTTCTGGCTCTCTCATTTTCAATGATTACAATATACAATCGTTAAAAACAGAGCACCAACTCACATTGACGCCGTGATAAACTTTTATACATCAAGGGACTTTAGAGCCGATTATGTGCCTCCAACAGATTGACTGGACCAGAGTTAGAATGAATGCTTACGCAGCTCTTGCATTCAATTCTTAAAGGGACAATGAAGACGATTTTATTTAATTTTTTTTAATGGTGTTTTTATGCTTCTTGGGAACATAGCATGCTGCCCAATTTTTTGTAGCCATTTCTGACGCGTATTTCTGTGCCTACGAAAGAAGTAAAGAAACCGAAACTGAACAATCTCCATTCTCGTTTCTGGGCCTCCGAAAACGGAGGTGACGTAGGGAGTGACGTCAAGAGTGAATAGTCGGTATCGGTAGTATTTAGGAGATCAAGACTCCTGTTACCGCGGTGGGTTATAGCAGCGCGGTGGCGCGGTCGTTTCGTCGAATTTGTCAACATAGACGGCAATGCCGCTCTCGCGAGCGAGTTCGAGCTTCCGTTCAGTAACCCAACACAAACGGAACGGGAGTATGTGTGTGGCGGCCTCCGCCATCACCCGAGGGAGACCGCCCAGGGGCCGGTAACGAGCGGCCCGCATGCCGAAGTGCCCATAGTTGCTCGGTGGCCGTTTCGCGTCCAGCGTAGCAAAGAAAAAAACAATTATGCTGCTTTATTTATGGTTTAGTAATCCTTTCCGGTCCGATTTATACTTTTCATGGCTATTCAAGCGGAAATTAGAACAGTATTCCTAAAAACCGAGAATCAAAACGTGACCGAGGGCGCGTCTCTCGTTTCAACCAATCACTGAGGCGTCTCTTGTGACGTCGCGCTTCTTGGCCTCGCATCGGTCACGTGAGCTCCGCTTTTCCCGGCTTCTCCCGCAACTTTCAGGGCGTCGCTCCAGTCGATTCCGGTACGATTATTACCGCAACTGTTTAATTGATTTGCGCGGTACACAAGCGCCGGTTTCGGCTGAAATTTGGGCCACGTGGCCTGAGACGTGCCTGGAACCCAGTTCAATCGCCAAAAAGATTTCCGAAATTGCCTTCATTGTCCCTTTAAGTCCCATCGTGCTCACGTCTCGAATGTATAGGCCTCGCATCTTCTGCTTCAAAGCATCTTCAACTTCTTCCATTATCAGTAAACACAAGGCTGCCATTAGTATGGCACAGATGCCATCCCTCGGATGACAGTGATCAAAGTGGCCAGAATGAATTTCAGAAAGGGTCCATTCAGATGTAAAATCCCATTTTCTCTCCAAGTGTAATTTAAAAAGGAATGCAGACGGTCTGCTGCAGTCCCGAGCAGAACATGCAGGTTTTTCAGTGCACCAGACAAATGGGAAAAATTAAAAGAAAAACATGCTCAGGTGATCTTGAAATATCAAAGACATCACACAGCATAACCAGAGCGATACAAAAACGGTGAAAATTGGCCACGCACACTAGCTTAGATGGTTTCACCGCAAGGCATACCTGTGCCAGCAGGCACCAGACAAACTTCAGGCAACTATACAAGCTCTGTTGCTTGATTTCTTAGTTTGGTCACAAATGGCATACCTGCCAACCTGTGGACTTTCAAATTCGTAAAAGTCCCACGGCTGTGGCGGGGGGGTTACGCAAAGTGAATTGCAGCTTAATGTCAGCCTGGCCAGCGCGCGAAACGCTTACATCACACGTGCACGTGCTACACAATCCAAACTTCTCTCGCTTTTTGGGCGGCACGAAGCACGGAAATTTCGACGTGTAGGACTTCAGGAACACCTGAAAGCACCTCTTTTGAGGTTTCGAGTTCGGCATTGCGCCGCGAAGCCACAGTGACCAGGAGAATGCTACAGTTACACGTGCAACAAACACAGACGCCGTACTTCTCGCCTCAAAACTGGCCGAAACAACGAGGCCCAACAACGTCTGAACACGCCGAACCACCGTTCACCTGTGCACCGCCGAACACACGAACAAAGGCTTTGAGCTTTGGATTGGTTTTCGATCCGTGGCCACTGGATAGACGGATAGTAAAAACCACGACGCTGCTGTGGACGGTACCTATCGCCCTCTTGTGGCGGTGCAAGATACCGCCAACAACGGAGTTACAAAACCAACAACAAAAAAAAAATAAAAAAAATAAAAAATAAAAAATATATTTTTCGTAAGATTTGAAGCAAGATTCGTAAAATCGTAAAATTAGTCCCAATTCGTACGTTTTACGAAAAATTCGGGAGAGTTGGCAGGTATGAAATGGTGAGTGGCAGACCAGGGAAAACTACAATGGCAGCTTGATGGGCCCTTCTTACGGTGGCTGAGGCTACCTAAAATTTAAACTAGGACTTTAAATATTCATTTGCTAAACCAACAAAAAAAATTGACCCACCCCAACAAGAGCGAAACGGTAAACTCCCTAAGAATTTACAACACGTGCAACCAAAGTTCAAGATGAGTGGTGCCTACACAGCAACGATCCTCTGACCTCAGCTTAGGATCTGTGAAGTCATCAAGTGGAATCTGTCTTTTTGTAGTAAGGTGGCACTTGAAACTTGCCGAGAAATGCAAAAGCTCCTGTACTACCCCAAGCTTAGCAAGAACAGAGGGATGAATCTAGTTTCTGTCAAGAAAAGTGTAGTTAGATCTCAGATTTTCAGAAAATTCAGAAGTGCAACAAGATTTCTGAGACTGACAAAATTTCATTTTCACCACAAGCTCAACTTTTTTGCTGCCGATGATGAACACGATGGGACCACTATGTACACAGTAGTCAGTCATTCTGACAAGGCTGCGAGTATGAGGTCAGCATTGTACACATCCTTTTACGTTAAAAAAAACACGGAACTCAAAAAAAATAATTTTTAAGGTGCCTAAATATAACTTGCATGCACCAAATGAAATTTTCCCCGAAAACAAAAACATTTCAGAGCAACATTTACACCTCCAGACGCAATTTTCGTGAAAGTATTTTGATGTTAAAGAAACTAATTTAAATAGTCATTATTGCCTCCAAAATATCAGAAGACCGCAACTTTTGCTTTGACTTCAAATCATAACAAAGATGGCTACTGGTACTTGCAAGCAGTCCCATACCCTACAGAGCTAGCACATTTTTACAAGTACAAGTTGTTTCGCATTTCCCGAAATGTTTATAGGAAGATCTCGGCTGACATAGTTTGCAAGAAACAACTGTCCCAAGTACAAGTTTTAGGAACTGTTTCATGGATGCATGTTTTTGTAGCAGGGCTCAACATCACTAGAAGCTCCATATCAGTTGCGGAGCTTGCGCTTTGCAGCAGAGCCAAAAAATACCGAGTCGAACCCTACAGTCGACGCTAATACTTCGAGAGGGTGGATAGTATTAAGAGTGACGCAGGCCCCACCCGGGTCCGTCAGCTATACGTCTCTACACCTTCGCATGTTCCGGTTCTGTATGCTGGTACTGAAAGCATCATGCAGAGGCAGCCGTGGCGGTTTGCGCGTGACATCTTGCATGTTGACCTTCACATCGATCAAAAATGTAGAGGTTGTGAAGTATGGTTCAGCAAACATTTGCTTTGAATTTTAAAAAAGTAAAAGAATAAAACATGAACGCGAAGACAGACAGTACAGTTCTTTCAACTAGCAAGCGACATTTAATGATGCCACCTTCAATGCAACAGGCCTTGCCTTGCCTTCCCTTCCCTTCCCTGACCTGGGAAAAAAAAAAGAAGAAACCCGGGAGAAAGAAGAATCTGTTAAAGGGGAACTGTGCAGATTTTTTTAGCTATTTAAAGGCATCATCTGAATATGGATGTCATCCTGATTTCGAAATGCTATCCTGTTCCCCCAGATTCAGTCTAGTTAATTAAAGTGAGATTTTGTTTGCTGCCGAAACCGAAACATTGTTCTCCTTAGTTTTTTTCCCAGTTTTCCCCGCCACCCAAACGTGGGGTCATCGGCAGGCAGCGAGGCGCGCAGCCGGCAATCGGGTACGCTGTTAGACACTGTTAGATGCAAGAAAACGCCCGTTTTCTCGCGTCTAACAGCGAGAAAACAGAGGCGTTCGTGCTATATGAAGTTGATAATAATCTATTTGTACAAAGTATGACCTTGGCCCACGTGCTGAACTATGAGAAAGTAAAAAAAAAAATGGGAGCAACTGGGATTTTGAGAAAACCATTTTTGCAACGCAGTACGCTCAAACTGCGGCTCGCTAGTTTAGTGAACTCGCTACCAAATCCGTTCTAACAGAAGCTGGCAGTCATGCTGGCGAAGAAATGTCGACAAGTCAAGAAATACACTTTTGGGCAAATTACGTAAGCAGAACGGAGAATGCTCGAAATGAAGGAATGTGCCATTTGTTTTTGATTTTCTTAAGAAAAGTTATTGTTGCAGACGCCAGCACAGGTAAACTACCCTTGTAGCATGCATATGCTCCTTTGTGCTTATATAATTTAGCAAAATCTATAGACCACTCCAGAAAAGCGCTTCTGGTCGGTGCCATTTCCAGCGTTCCGTGCTTGTGGTGCGTACTTTGCTTGCCGTCCAAAGCGATGAACATGCGCATGCTGGGCTGTGACCTAACTCATATAGGCTGAGATTCTCGTAAAATATGAAATGTATAGAATGGAATGAACTGCATTCGTGTAGGCCAGATGACAGGTTTCTGTTCATGAAGACCACGCTAAAATGAAAATTAAAGGAACTCTGCAACCACCGAGCCATACATCAAGGTGCAATGAAAGGCATATAAAATACACAAATACGCTGTTCATCTTCAAATAAAGAATATTTGCTCGAAATATTGCGTAAAATACCAAAATGCATCATAAAATTTTTAATTTGAAATATGTTAACAAGTTACTCCCAAAATATTTGTACCCATATTATATTTTTTTTCTTACTGTTGGAGTAGAATTTAACACGCTCATCAAACACATCCATGAGTGCACATGGGGAAAAGTAATTCTATAGATTTTTTTAAAATAATGTTTTGGTTTTGCACAGTTTTGGCTTCTTCATATATTAGCGGAGCTCAGAACCTGCTCCCTAAAGCGCTGCAATACCAGACACGAATCTGAAGAGCGAAACTATGTGCAGGTACCCAAGCAACCAACACTTACCCTGGGCCGAAGAATCCCTAGCAGCTCCTCGAGGGACTGCACAAAAGCATTGCCCACATCTTGTATGCCGTGCTTTTCAGCTTCTGTATGCCTCAGGATCCTGCAAAGCAGACAAGCTTGGGATGCAACACAGCAAAATAAACAGCTATTTGGAATTAATGCTCGTTACTGATACCGCTGGCCAATTGGAATGATGCTCTCCACTTACATAACTGTTCAGCTTTAAGCGCCAAACAGACGGGTGGAAAAACTGTCCAATCGGCATACAAACCATCGGAAAGATGGCTGCTCAGACTCGCCGTACACAACGGTTCGAGACACATGCTTGCCACCTAGCTTCCGACAAGTCGTTCTATTCGCCTCCGCCCAGTTCGAGTATCCTTCAAAGGTGGCTTTTCCACCGGATGGATGAATGGATGCTAGCGGCTCTACCATTTATACACTGGCGGTAACTTGCGCCACCCTAGCCTAGAAATCGCGCAGCAGTACCTCAAAGTGGTCGACTCCATTTGGTCATGATAATGCCTTCCCAGAATGGACATTAGTACGAGCAGACGCTTTTTCGGTTTTAGAACAAAGAACACTTTCATTATATTCTATAATGTGAGCACGTCTTAAAAACTTTACTTAAGGAGCCGAGCAACAATTTCAGGGCTTTGCTTAAATGATTGTGGAGGTTGATGCCTGACACTTCTGAAGTGAACTACAGAAAACAGATTTTGCTGGATACCCTAGTTTTTATTTTAAAAAATGAAAAAGATCCAAGTTTTTGCCGCCTCTCAACTCTTACATCGTCTTCCGGGTGACGTGCGCAGTGACGTCGATGAGGTAGGCACGGGGTTTCGAGAAAGTTCTCTCTTTAGAGCCATCAGTGAGCAGCGCGAACACATCCGCTCGCGACTGCGTGCTGGCGGGCGCCGCGCGAACAATATGTTGAAAGGAGGAAAGTCTCATCCGGGTCCGGCCATACCCGTCCGGCTCTGTCCCCCTCCCCCTCCGGCTTCTGGCGGCTGTTAGCGGTCGCGGATAGAGCTGACTGTTTTGTGGACTTAGGATAGATGGCGCCACTAAAACTCCGTATAATAAAAGTTTTGTTGATACCAGGTTTTCGACGCATTTATATTTATGTTGGAACGACAAGATTTATAGAAAAGTTACCTCTTATCGAGCAGGTATTCGCACAAGTTGCTATCTTTCTACAACATTCCCCATTGACGTCACGCCGCATGTTTCTCATGGCCGGTTGGCGAATATGCTAAATTTTGCCTCGCTATTATGCGGCAGAATCGCAACATTTCGATGAAAGGAGGTGTGTTTTCTGTACTTTGTGACAAGGTGAACAATATTAAAAGAAAAAGATGCCACTTCTTTCAACAATAAAATCGTTGAACAGCTCCTTTAAGGTTGTACTGTTTTGCTCGACATTACCTAATCAAAGAGGCACTATAAATTTGGTCGACACCGTCTTAAAGGTTGGCAACAATAGCTTGTTTTACTCAAGATAGACTGTAGAGGACCTTATGACCTGTTGCAGCAAATCAAGCACTGCAAACTCATTACGGGACTACATGCCTCACACATTGCTACGTCTCTCCCAAAGATTAGTCATACAGCACTGAAATGGCTTGTAGGATCCGCTGCGGTCCATCGTTAAGATGAAACAGGTCGGGTCTCGACCGGTCCCAAAGGGTTAACTTGCTATGGAAGTGCAAAATCAGCAGCTTGTTTCGTGCGACGTTAGAAGACTCCTATAGCTTGCACAATGGCTCACACGGGGCCCTTCTCTTCCTATGCATGTCATGGCCGCGGATGACAAACCTGAGGAACATTCATGGGTCATGTGTACCCCTTTTGCATGAAAGTAAAGGCAGGACACTTTCCTCGCCCCTTAGGAGGCAGGACTGTCAGCTATGGAGTGGAAGTGGCCAGAGACCATGGCATGACTGATTTGTTATTATGGTTGACCCACTTTACGGACCATTTTTCTGGGGGACGAAGGCGTTACCGAGACAATTCTGCTACTTATGAAAACTGAGACAACACCGATTGAGCAGGTAACAATTATTTAATATTGAAAACCTGCCCAATAGATTGATCTCACCAAGCAAACTGTGCAGGCGCTCGCATTCCGGAAGTGGTGCCACTGCGATGCCAGGGTTCATACAGGCATCAAAGCTAACAATTCCAGGGTTTTCAGGGACGTTTAAGGGCCTGTAAAGAGATTTTTAAGGACTCCTGTTTGTTTGCTTTGTTCTATATTTTCTAAGCTTGTTTACACTTTTTTTGTATGTTTTTAGTGCTTGGCTTCTAGTGTTTGTATATGGTTTGTATTCCATATTTGCCTTGTCCCACTCCCCTCTGTAATGCCTCAGGGCCTTAAAATAAATAAAGATACACGTAAAAAAAAAAAAAAAAAATGTTATATTTTAGTATTGTAAAAATATTTTATAATTGCAAAGAAAAAAAAAACTGGCTATTATTGGGAAATTCAAAAGTTTTCAAGCACCGCTAGATATTACAGGGCTTATAAAGTCTGGAAAATGCAGTTTTCAAATACAAGGGTTTTCGAGGTTTTCAAGGACCCGTGCAAACCCTGCATGCTACTCATAGTCATCGCCTTCCGGCTTCCCGGCTGCATAGGGCTGCAGTGAGCGTACATTATCGTTTGGGACGCCACGGTGTCGGCTTGAATTTCCCTCCCATGTGTGTAGTTCACAAATTTGTGTTGTTTGTGGTGCCTTTCAGCAAGCGCAGAATGCTGTTGCAGTCATCTTATCGCTTTATAATCTTTTCGTCAACTACTGCACCGTTTAGTCCTTTACGCAGTAGTCCCGTGCGGCTGCGGGAAAAACGACTATACTATTTGAGCACTCCGGCTGCTAGGACATCTCAATGAACTTGGAAACAAGTGAATATTTAGTTCAATGGTAAAGAACATAAAAATTCGAGGAGCCATCAGCTCGGTTTAGCACCGCAGAACAGCATCGAGTGCGTCTGAGAGAAATGGAGCTTGGTAGCACTCAGGCTTCTGCAACAGGTTTAATCAAAATTGAGTAAGAATAGCTAAATAGACTTTCTCGGGGAGCGATAGTTTCCTAAAAGTGGTTTTATTCTGGCTGACCGCCTGCGTGACGGGTACAGATGAACTGTGGAGAGAAACCTGCACACAAAAAAGAAACTATCTACAGAGAGACCCTGGCTGACGTGCTGTAACAACTCTCATCTGTCAAAAAGCAGCAAGAATGCCACACAACTAAAAACATCGGGAGGAGACGAGTTTTCATGTACAATTTCTATTCAATTGCTCCGAGCACTAACAGTCACCTGACGGTGGCAGCTTTTTCCTGCGGTCACACTTGGTGTTAATGCAGAAAGGATCAGTAACACCAGTCAAAATCAAGTTATGGCATAAAAGACCGCCACAAGGTGGGCGAGGTTCTTTTGCTGTCTTTCTGGCAGTAAGTGTTGCGCTTCTAAAGTGCATAATGCAGTGTCATAACATTTTGTCAAAAAAAAATAAAGACTGCTTTCGGAAAAGTTGGTTTCATTTCAAGCGATGCATATTGGGAATCAGTACTTTTTTTTTTGTGATTGTCCTAATTATCTGAAGCACAGTTGTGCTTTTTGAAACATGTTGTCGCAATAACAGTTATAACCCCCAAACTACATCGAGAAAAAAGTGTCTTAAAAACGGCCGCTGCAAGGCAGCGTGGCTGTTGATTGAAATAGACCACTACAGAGCGAGTGATCAGGGAGATTCGAATGTACAGAACACTTCAGCACGCTCTACTATGTCTCGTGCCCTGTAATCTTACCCTCTTTAGCTAATGTGCAAATGGGTGGATATAAATTTTGAAGCGAATTGCAAAATAAATTGAAGTCACTTTTTCCTGCCGCCCTGTCCGGCTCTGTTTACCTTTCTTAGCCACTTTTTTCGGTAGCTGCTTTCTTTCGGAAGGACATAATATCCGAAGCCTTTTTGTGTGGTGCTGTTATTGTAGCACCGTGGCACACAACAGGTGAAACCGCCCATTGAAACCGCGAGTAAAACACGAAACAGAAAACTTGAAAGAACTACAGATACCAGAATGCACCGCGCCAGCAGTGGCATTCCGTTAACTCCTGGTAAGGTCGGTCTATTCAGTGAAAGGCTATCAAGCAACCTTGCCCTTTTACAAATCAAGAGATCACTCATTTTTGTTTACTTTTTTTTATGATGTACACATACAACAAACTATGCTGGGATTCCAACCATGTGTAACATAAACTAAATGTACTTATCAATATAGCTCAATTAAAAAGTTACAAACATAGCTTGAATAGGAGCAAAGGCTTTATTGGAGAAATATGTTTCGGCAAGAACCCACCCTCCTTCAAGTTTCTTCCCGAAATGTGTCCAATAAAGCCTCTGCTCCCATTCAAACTTTTTTTCAACATGTGAAACATGCCAAGAGTCACAACGCAGACTATGCTATTAGAGTTTAAGCATTACTTGTGCCTCAACAGTTGCTAGGCTTCCTCTATAAATTGCAATGATTGTCCCTTGTCATGCTTTGAAGGACAAAGAGCAAAAAGAAAAAGAAACTCCCGTTTTGAGCAAATCCGGCACATTCAGAGTGAAGGCTCGAACTGCAAGCCAGAATCTGCATACCTGGACATGTGCTCCATGATGTGAGCGATGCATCTGTACGCTTCAACCAGAACGGGCCTCTCCAGCAACAGATCCGGGCGTTCGTTGAAGAGGAACTGGTGTGGCTGATGGAGATGATTGCAGAGCGTGCCACTGAAACCATGGGCAACGAAACATGTCTGCACATCTGGAAATCAACTACAAGAGGCACAAAAGTTCAGCAGTAGAAACAAAGGAGGTGGATGACCAACACTGATTACAAGGTACTGTCGCCTTGGTTTTAAAGAGGTCACACAAAAGTACCTCCTCCATCCTATGTTGTTCAATCTTATATGCTCCCCACAGGGATGGGAGATATTTTGACAGATTTGACGTATTTGTAATATAGATATTTCCTTTGAAATTCAGTCTGGCCACTCCTGGTAAATACCATAGTTTGAGGATTACAGTTCGCATCGATTGCAGTCTGCAGGACTAATTTGAAACGAAAGTGTACACCCTTATAAATAACCCACACTTCAAATATTCTTTTCTTTTTTAGCAATAAAGACCTGGTTTGGGTGACTACATACCACAGTTACATTTTTAAAATCCTTCGCGTAGAATTTTTAATCATTAGAGGGGTACAAAAATTGTCTTGAGCTGCCAATAATGCCCAGAGTCATGTATAAAGAGAGTTTGGTCAATGGGAGGAGCGGGCAGAGCCAGGGCATGCACCAGACGCAGAAAGAGGGCTTGTGTGCTATCTTGGCCAACCAGAACACTAAAAGGGTCCTCTAGCGGTGGTAGCGAGAAACAGTTTTAATCATAGAAAAGTGGCTTTAATAAGCATGTAGGAGTTAAATGTAGTAAACTTTCATGGTTGAAAATAGGGGGAGTCTTGATGTTTCGATTATGATCATGCAGAGAGATGCAAGAAATTAATGCGCTGCTCTAACTCTGTTTTGCTCGGACAGAGTGTGACCGCTTGGACAGCAGATTTCCAGCCCTCGGCGGCCGGCGTACAGATTTATGTCGATCGTTCTGCTAGTCGCGCTCTTCCACCATGGCTCTGGATGACTGATTGAAACATCCCAAGCACCATATTTTCAGTCATCAAGAGTTACTCAGACGCACTTATTAATTTTGTTTCTCGCGACCACCGCCAGGGTAATATTTCCGGTTTCTGGTTGGCCAAATTCGAATTTGTGAAGACGCCCTGGAACACGCCCAGCACGCTTTCGGCCAATGGTGTCTCCTCGTTTGACTCCTATACTTCCCAATGAATTGTTAAACTCTGTATTGTCACGAATGACAATTGATGAGGCGATGGTAACTGAAGGAACTAAACGTTTAATGGGGCGAACTTGTGCCCAAAACAAAAATGAAACAGAAGATAACAGTAGAGCGTCGTGGGCGTCGATGACGGCGTAACAGCGGGATCGTAACATTGGGGCGAGACTGACTTTCGCTTGCCACGCGGAGCGCCTTTTGTAGCCACAAGGGTTTCCGGAACATTCGGCTTAGAAAGTTTGACGCGTAGAACATTCGAGCCGCAAACAAGCAAGAGGATTTTCGAATTTAACAGGAAACTAAATTCCAATAATAAATAAAAGATGCGTCACTCCCAGGAATCGAACCCTGGCTTTTTGCATGGCAGGCAGGCACAATAACCATTAGGCCATACGCGCGCTGCCTACTTGGCCAGCTGCGCGCGCGGCAGATGTATGGCTTTCATGCCAAAGGAGTGTATCCTGTCAACTTAGCCCCATTCTCAGTCCTCCTAACCACCACAAAAAAAATTAGAATTAAGCCTTGTCTATGCCTATACTCGAACGCCAAGCGCAGCAAACACCTCGTTGTGCATCACGCAGGGATTTCATTGGCCTACGAGCACAAGCTTGGGATCCGGGACCAATAAACATCTCAAGCGCTGCGATTGAGTGGCGCACACTCGCACGCACCAGTTCTACGTTTTTGTATTTAGCCTCTATATTTGAGCCTTTGCGTTAAGAGACCCCATCAATACTGTAAAATACCGAGCTAGTGCTCACCCAAAAGTTGGAGATAATATTTTAAAAAATGGGGATGGACGCATTAGGTTTGAGAGCATAAAATCAAACGGGGGTACATGACAGGATAGGCCATGGTTTGATTTAAAGCAGCACATTGCTCTCAGCAATCCTGCTTCACACTGGCGCCAGCCGGATGCAGCTCCGAAGTTTGTAGGTTGACCAAAGTGAGGCGCCACATGCTACCAATTTTACATCCATCCATGCATTACCAACTGTACCTAGATCGGGTTCCGACCACTACATTTTAACGCGCTGCGGTAGAAGACTACCTCAATCACCATACGGTCAACATTCTCAGTCTGCTTGAGCCAATCGGAAAGCCCCTCTTCGACAGGGTTGCGTAACCCACGGCGCAAGCGTTTGAATTGCTACCTGCGGCTACTGCAACAATGTTCTCTGCTCCCTGTTCTTGTTGTGCGCTGTGCGGACGGCTTGAATGCGTCGAAGCAAAGTTGGCAAAATCAACACATCAGAACTGGAGGATCTTTTTTGCCGTCCATGTTTTCTACGAGGCCGTTCGACCACTAGAAGTATGCGAGGTCCAAGCAATGCTAAACGTGGAACACTAGAATCTGCCGAAGCGACCGCACATGGAGTGAATATAGGCTTTGTTTCTTTTACATATTTGCAGAAGGATGCTGTTATCTGCTTATTGGAAGAAGTTCACCTCTTCCAACGCAGACTTTATCAAGGTAGTATTTAACAAGTCCGCAATCCAGTCGTGGATGCCTCAAGGGAAAATGTCTGCAAAACTGTATTGTTCTTTGAAAAGTACAAATAAAAATTTGGCAGATTATTTTGTTGTTTGATATGCCGTGAACCTGTAACTCTGCGGGGTCGTGAATTTTTTTAAGATAGCTGTAGAGCGCAGAAGCTGTATTCAAATGTTCCGGGCCCAGACACGCTAGAACATAGAATACACGGACCGGACGGAGGAAAGAAAAGGGGGGGGGGGGGGGGGGGGGGGGGGGGGGGAAGGTTGCAGCAGTCGCGACCCGCATGATCAGCGACGTTAGTGCCATCTGTCAGCAGCTTTGTGCAAATTTGACTTTCTACCTAGACCTAGTTCCCCATTCTGCCACGACTCGTGTCGCTAGTTTTTCGCTACCACGGTGGAGGATACAGCTGCATCAAGCTGCTGGCACTCTCACATCAAGCTTCATCCCTTTGCACCGGCACACTTGCATAAAGCTTTACTGTCTTGCACCAGCTGTTTGGAGAAGCAACAGACACGGAGGAACAACTCTATTAGTTCGGTGGGCTCAGAAGTTCACTGGGTTGGGGGGAGCTTCAAATGTCCTATTTAAAATGTTTCGATAGTAGGGTGTGGGCACTTGTTGCGACATGAGCACCGGTATTTTACGGTAGGCTACAAAAAAACATTCTTCAGAATAATAATTTGGCAACACTGGTAGTGTATGCTAAAATTAAGAAAAAAAATTATTAAAGAAAACATTTTAATCAATTAATTTAATTTAAATTAATTTATTTCACTTTATATCACATTCATTTGATTTAAATCAAATTAATCTGATTTAAATCACTATAGCTAGAAAATGATTCTTTAAAGGAATGCTTCAACAAAATTTGAAATATACCCGTCGTGCTCAAAAATACGTTGAACATGATCCACAATATCTGTAAATGACAATCGCATGTTTGTATTTTGAGCCTGGTGGCTGTATTTTTTGTTATAAACGGCAAATTTGGCGAGTGCTCGCAGAGCAGCCAGCGGAGAGCATGTGACATCCCCCGCAATCGTGACATAGTTTGTCTCGGGACGAGCAAAGCTGCAGCGAGGCTGACGTCGAAAGGATGTCGTAGTCGTTCCAGCCATTGAAGCAGCTGCTTTTGTACAAATTTTGAGTGACGGGTTAATCTTCTGTAATCTTGTAGAAGGACAACAGCGACTTCTGGGACTCACAAAAAAGGAGTCTCGGGGAGAGGGGAGTTCCTCCTTCCCCTCTTCTCTCGTGGTGGCCGGAAGTGAGACAGTTATCGTCACTACCTGTCAAGGTTCTTATGGTGAATTCCACTCGTAGATCCGGAGCGCTTCCCGAAATCCGCGAGGGAGGCGAAATTCCGCTCCGTGGGACCCGCTCCGAATCGACGAGGGGAAGATAAACCCTCATTTTTGGAGCGACCTCTCCCACACCCCTTCCCACCGCTTCCCCCTCCGCCGTTCAAAATGGCCGCTGCTCAAACTTGACAATACAGGCGGCGTTGGACAAGCCCACCAACGCCTCAGCCGACTAATCTTTTTGACGACCAGTGACGATTGTCACTGCTTAGCTGCAGAAATAACACGCAATTATACGTACCACGGCGCCCATGTCACAAATCACGAATACGTCCGCGTTCGGCACCGTCACATACCTTTCGGCCGCCTCGAAGCGGCGGGGCACGGACAGCGATTGCCAGCGCTGGAGTTCAGATTTCTGGTACGACTTTAATAAACACAGAGGTAAGAAACAATCATTTGCGCGGTCGTTGCCTAATCACTTCTTGCTTTATTTCACGGTAAAACGCCGGCGGAATGCAGTTTAGAAAGGTAAACGATCATGGCTGCACAATGAACAGGCCTAACCTTGCGTCTGCCTCCGGCTTTTCTGTCGTTCTTCCTCTCACGATCACAGATGTCAGCGCTTACGATTTACCACGCTCCACAGTCCCGGCTTTGTATCCCTGATCTACGCGAGGTAGAAGCGTTCGAGCCGTCACAATCCCGTGTAAACAACCGACGCACCCACACAGATCCAACTCGACGCCCCGACCGGCCTGACCGGCCCGCCGAGTCCTCTCCAACCTCGCCGCGCATGCGCAATGCCGATTTAGACGGAAATCACGTGGGCCGCTCTGTCAACTTCCGGAGAGATCTGTGAAATGCCGCAGAGCAAGTTCGGCGGGGTTTGGGGCGCTCCGTGGAGCGGGTGCTGCCAGAGATCTACGAGCGGAAGATGACCAACTCGAGCCAGATCTGCGAGCGGAATATGCGCGCTCCAAATGGAGCGCTTTTGGAGCGCTCGAGATCTGCGAGCGGAATTTACCATTAGACTGGCATTACAAACGAGGCGTTAGAGACATTCACCAGGTGCACTTTGCTAATCGTTCAATTCATTTTAAAATTCCTTTTCGTGTCTTTTTTAACCGGATTATAGGTGTGTCCGATGTGATACTGGTCCTTCGACTGCACATAGACCAAAAAGTAAGTGCCGAAATTTCGTTGTAGTATCCCTTTAACATTATCATAAAACCCTGAGCGAGTGCCCACTCAAAATTTGGAAATAATCATGTAAAACTGGGGGATGGGAGCTCTTTAGGTCAACAATTGGTAAAAGATACGTCCTTTGTGTATTTTCCAAATGATACAGAATTGAGGGGATGGCCCTTATTATGAAATGGGCGGATGCACGGTACTTTAGGTACAATCGGCATCCAAATGAGCGGACTCGGCACAATGACGGCGAGAGTTACAAAAATCCCTCATGGGGTTTTTGTAACGGGGTAGCTGGCAAACGAAGTGGAATGTAGAAATCAAGCTCAACGCTCCGATTTTGCTCAGAAGAGCCAAATACTTACTGCCCGTTATAGAGGGTCCAGCCGTTACCATCTATTCATCCTTTTACATGATGCTTCTTGTTACCGATAAAGGATGCCCTTTTTACACTGGAATTTGTTGTCTTATTTTATATCCCCCATTCCCCTTTCCCCACTGGCATGGGGTCCCACATCACTTTGGCAGGTCCACAAGGGGTCCCCCGACACATCCATGCTTGAGAACCACCAATTTAAATCATTGGAGTAAAACTGGTCAGATTTACATCCCGATTTAAATCCTCGATTTTTATTCCCCACCCTGCGAAAATGGCAGCTTATACCCTGTTGCAGGTTCAGAAAAACAAGCTTCTCCCATGAAGCCCCCCACCCCTTCCACTTAGCATAGTGAACACCGGAAAGGAGGAGAGTCCCTCCTTCCCTCTCCAGCGTTCGCTCTGCTAATTGAAAAGGGCGGAGAACTTTGCGGGAGGAGAATGCTTTTCTGAACCTGCAACAAGGTATGGTGAAGCTCCTTTTACAGATCTGCTCTTGTTAGCAGTGACTGTCGTCAGGCGCTTCATTACGGGTGTCTGCATCCTAACAAACTGGATGTACTCGAGAGGGGCCATACCAGAAGTCGTTGACCAGATTCCACACTTCCTGGAGGTGGTGCTGTGCCTGACTCAAACGGTGCATCACGGGACTCGGCTTACGAGGACCCCCCGTCCCGCTCGGCGTTTGTAGAAAGAAGGGGCCCCGACGCGGTTGGCGCACCGGCATGCGGGCCAAGGGCAGCAGGGGACCCCGCGGCTGTCTTGGAAGGCCATCCGATGCACTCCTGGGCCTTGCTGCGGAGCTGCGGAACAAATAGGTGGTTCAATTCGGTTGTTTTTGGTTACTGCAGCATCTGAAGGAATGTTCCGACTGGAGTGCGGTATGAAAGGATGCGAGACATTCCCCAAGAAGTACAGTGGGCAGCAAAAGTCTGCGTGGCACGGGAGCGTAAGTCGAAATGACTGGCTGTGCCTTCCGACGGCATGCGGCTGCTCTCAAGACTTGCATTGTGTGCATGGGCCTCCTTTTGTGTTTGCCGTCATGTCTTTTTCTCTCGCTTCCGTCCGATAACCGAGACCGGTGCAAGGTACAGCTTCGTTAGCTGTCATGCCGTACATCTGCCACGGCCAGCATGATGGGTGACTGAGCTCGCATGCTACAGATTACATTTCACAGTGCCTTGTGCCAGTTCCTGTTATCCGACGGAAGTGAAAGAAAAAAACATGACTGCAAACACAGGAGATGCATGCACAAAGCACAAGTCTTGAGAGCGACGAGCTGTCAGAAGGCACAGCCAGTCATTTCGACTGGCATTCTCGTGCCTCGTAAACTCTGCCTGGCGACTGTACAGTCCTGCGGTAATAAACTGGGGCCTCCGATAGTGTATTGTTGGCCTCCACTCATACTTCTCAGAAGGCGCTCAACATGATTGCTGCATTTAAAGTGAGGGACTGCTAAACATATCTGAAGAGATAAAAGGAAAGCAACAAAGACTCGCTTCCCTCTAATCTCTGTAACTTACCAGCTTGCTCCAATTTGCAAGACATTTCGAGGATTTTTATGTTCTAGTGCGAACCGAAATCCAAGTTAGGTTATGTATGCATCTGAATAGTCAACTCTACCCATCTACTGAATTTTCCCAAATTTAGGTTATGAGTACTTCTATGTTTTTATTATTTCCTTTTTAAGTTAGGTTATGAGGCCATCTTAAAGCTTTGCTAATGACACTGAGCACAGATATTTGTATACAATGACACAAACATTTGCTTAAAGGCAAAACAAACCAGCAGGGGCTCGGTAAAAAAGAAACCAACAAACAAATGCAAAACCCAAAGAAAACGAAGCTGACTCAGCAGGGGCCCAGAGGAGGGAAGCAGCAGCCACGCCCCCCACCCCTCCCCCGAACAAAAAAAAAAAAAAAGTCTTGGTTACGCCAGTGCGACAGATAGAAAACGGGTGTGCAATGTCCCCTCCCTGTTTATATATATATATATATCGCGTTCCAAACAGAACCCTAGGTGACCCCGTGGTCCAGTGGACGTGACCCAATCAGCCTGCCGACATCTTTCAAGTAACACGTTTTCTTTCGAACAGCAAATCGTGGCAAACTAGAAAACACGAAACTAAGGTCGGTATCAAGCATGCACTTCATATCCGAGCACATCATAGAAGGCTTCCTCTAAACATATTCGATTCTCGGTGATGCTGTGGGCTAACCGTTTCTGGGGGAATCAGACCTGCAGCCATTGCACCCAGACATTAATCCTACCTGAAAGACGTGGTCGCCGTTACAGGCAGCATGGCAGACGTTGACAATCCGGAACTGCTGCGAAGTCACAACCCGAAAGTGCCAACAGCCACAAAGGGTAGTACGCAAAGCACACGGCGCACGTAAAGCGGATGTGCACCTACAGCGCACGTTCTCTCACTTCACTGGATTCACAGGTTTCAAATTTCAATAGTTGGCGAGTTGACCACCACCACCACAACCTAGTCAAGTGCTGTAACCTGTTACTGCACCCTAACTACCCCTGCTGCCAGTCACTGAGCTGACCCTAGCAACCCCAGTACAGCACTGACAGAACCACTGAACGTCCTCACATCCGCACGCGCGCAACATGGCACACAGCTGACACAGCAGCGGAAGGCAGGTCACATGGCCAAATACAGGCCAATATATGCAAAGCAGGTTTGACAGATATGATAGATCCCCAATTTATATCAGAGGGCCGATCAAAATAATATATTTGATGCACGCTAGTTTAAATCCAAGGCGCCATCTGACATCTCCAAAATGGACATCCCCCATCCTGGTTGGCCGACCTAGCAGCCAACGCGGCTAACGTTGGATGGTAGCGAGTAGTAGCAGCATAGCCTGGCATAGCAGCAGGTTGGTACAGGTGTGCACAGCGGCACACCGGCACACTAGTGTGCACCACGTGCACCAAGACGCCGGCGCGCCGCGCGCCGCCGCCGAGCATTTTTGCGCCGCCGCCGACGCAAACTGATCGGCGCGCCGCCGACGTCCTGAAAATATTTTTTTGTGCAGTGCACGACTGGCTATCCTTGGGTGCTTTCGCCAACCTTTCGCTGCTTTCGCCCTTCCAATTTTTAGGGTTTTTAGTGTGTCTCCGCACCGTCCGCACCACGGTGCAAGAAGGACTTTCTTGCACCGTGCTCCGCACACAGACGAAGAGACGGGTTCAGCCGGTTTAGTGAGCAAAATACGTGGGACTTTCGCCGGCACGCGCGTCTTGTGGGGGACGTGTTTCTCCCCTTCCAGGCAGGGTCGGCTTCTTGGTGTTTTTGGAGGATTTCGGAGATCTTTGCTCCCCGATGCCTCCTCTCCCAGCTTTTCGTGTCTTTGCCAAGAGACCTTGGCTCGGCGCCGTTGGGACGGCCGGGCAGACAGGAGCACTAGCGAAACTACGAAAGTGAAATATTTTTCATACGCGAACGGGCTTGGCGTGGCGCCGGGTAGGCTCCGGCCGTTGTACTGGCAAAGTTGCGGGGGTGTCATTTCGTGTCCATTGCAAATGTAATCCGTACCCCATCCCCCATCCTACCCCACACCCATCCAGTCAACGTGAGTTAACCTTGGGCGAAGACGTGTGCGCTGAGGACAAACGGGATAAGGTCTCCACCCAACACCTTTTCTCCCCCTCCCCATCCCTTTTTTTCCGTTGGGTCTATGGTCTACCTCGACCCCCTTCAACCCCCTGCCCCTCTCATCATTTCCCTTCACCCTCTAGCATTCCGCAGCTCGAGGCTTGTGACATTGCAAGTGTTGTTTTGTCCGTCCTTCATGTTTTATTCTTTTTTGTATTTAACTTTATCACGAACGCGCTCAATTAATTACCTTTTTTCGGTTCATATGGTGACAACCAAAACAATGTTGTAACAAAAAGATTAAATATAATGAACAGAACGTAGGGACGCATCTTTGTGAAAAACCCGAGACAGATATCGACAGACGACAAGGAAGAGAAGGAGAACGTCTCAAACACAGCTAAAGCTTTTTTTATCACAGAACCGTTGAATAAAGGAAGAGAAGATAACCCTTCTTCCAGTGGCGGACCAACTTGTCTTTGAGTGTGTGTGTGTGTGTGTGGGGGGGGGGGGGGGGGGGGGGTGCGGTACCCTTGGTATCCCTTGGGCGCCGCCGGCCATTTTTAGCCCTGCCCAGCGGCTGTTTCATGGGAAAGGGGGGGGAGGGGACAAAACACATGCCTTGCCCCCCCACCGGGGCCGTCACCGGCATCACTCAAGCGCGCTGCCATCTCTGATCACTGTTGTCACTGTTGCAAGGCTAGGTACGTACCAAAGGCCAAAACACGCTATATTTGCGCAGAGCCGGGGAGAGTTTGGCCAGTGGGTGTGGCGACGAAGGCGCCGGAGAGGAGAAAGATAAATGAAAGGGAGGAAAGCGCCGAAGGAGCGAGAGAGAAAGAACCGAGCAGAGCTGGAGCAGAGAGGAGACGACCGCCATCTTTTAGCAACGCTGTCGGAGACTGGTCGGAGAAGAGCACTGCTGAGGCTACGCGTCGTCTGCTACGGGTCGACTTCTTTTTCGCCTGAATAAAAGTTTGTGGCCATAGGCCGAAAAATCTTCATTTATTAGCTTTTTAACCCACCGAGGAATAACAGAATGTCATTTTCTTGCCAGAGCCAGCGATATAAAAGGCAATAATCAAGATTTAGACGCCGATCCCACGCATTCCGCCGGGAGAATGATCGAAGATGGCGGCCCTTCCCACTAAGGGGGGGAGCAGCCGGGAGTTCACGCGCATGCGCTCATGCCTCTCGCTCTACGCCGCGTGCTGAATAGCTCGCTCGGGAGGAGAGCGTTACGGCGGCGAGATCATAGACTGACCAAACTCTCCCCATATACGGCTCTGTATTTGCGCAGCTCTGTATTTGCGCGACCTCTTCTGCCCTCCAGTGTTGAAAATTGAAACCAAAGCCAATGGACCTTTGCAAAAATTACCTTCTGCGCGCTGCCATCTTTGTCTGCTGGGCTGTGGAACGCCTTCTGAGCATGCGCTGTTGGTCTGCTGTGCGGTACATCGGATGCTGCGCATGCGTCCACAGCTCAGTGACTCAGCATTTTCTGCCCGGGCGCTTCGTTCGAGACAGCCGCTGGAAAGGTCTATAGCCGAACCCGTCTCGTGTATGGCAGTGAAAGCAAACCATCATTTTGGCTGGACGAGTGTGACTCGTCATCGGCGATGTTGGTACAACCTTCCATGACGAGTACAGCTCGGGTTGAGTGGTTAAAGGGTTAAGGTAATAAAGTGAGACTTTTACAGACAAAAGAGGGCTTGTTCACTGCATTCCCATGCTTGGTTATCGACATCGTGATTGACTCTTTCAATCAGGCGCTTGCGGTCGTTTCTTTCTGTTACAATTGTGGTTGTCGAGTTCCATAATGGCACGCAATTCTTACATTCCTGAATATGCTTGGAAACCTCAGAATATGGATCCTCAGTGAAGGGTCCAATGCAGTGTGTAATTTTACCGGCGTTTTTTTTTTTTTTTTTTTTTTTGTGTGTGTGTGTGTTTGTGTGTGTGTGTGTGTGTGTGTGTGTGTGTGTGTGTGTTTGTGTGTGTGTGTGTGTGTGATTGATGTGTAGTTTTTTGTGGCGTCAGATGGTTTGACCCCATTGTTAGAGGTCCGGTTTCGTATCTTTTGGTGAGAGAGGTGATGTGAAGAAGGGTTCCCTTTCCTTCCTTCTTTTTTTCAACCCTATATAAGGGGTGTTATCCTCAATAAAGGTGTAGCTGTGATTGAGACGTTCTCATTCTCTTCGTTGTCGTCGTCTCCTCAGTCTCCGGTTTTTCACAAAGGAAATATGAAGTTGTTTGGTCCTGCTGAACAATTCCTCTTTTTTTTTTTTTTTCCCTGACATTTGGGGTTCTTTTCTAAAGGTAAATAGACTATACGGTAGGGAGAGATACGCGAGGGGGATAAAGTAGAAAAACAGCTTGTAATGCTCTTAATGGAAGTAAGAGTTAAAGAGATGGCTCCTCCTAGGGGTGCCTTCATGTGCGCTTTGCTTAGGGTGGAGACATCTGGCCATTTTGTCCCACACTTTTATTTTTATTTTTTGTTCAGAAGCGCGTGAAAGAGCGTATCCCTGCACGCGTCTGTGGCACTGACTGTGCTATGGCGACATTTTGTTTTCGTCGATTTCTTTGTATTTTCCCCGTGAGCGCGTGCTGTCGGCATCGGGTACTACAAAGGGTGGCAAGGACATTGATAGCAAAAGCGCGCGTGTGTATGAAGGCACTCTAGACATTGAGGCACCCTAGCTCCTCCTGGTTTTCCCTTATACAGTAGTCCTTATCAGATCGGCAGTTTTCTCTAAATCTTTAGAGTCTATCGCTGCCGTAGCACTTTGCAGTAGCGTCGATGATATGCTTGAAGGTGGGTCCATCCTGTAAGACCTGGCTCGTTGCGAGCCGGAAGTTCGTGGCTGTGATGTGTCTAAGAAACCGCATGGAAGTTTTCGCGTCATCCCGTTGATTGTCGTAAATTGTTGTACCCAAAGAAATCTTCAACACAGGGGGTCTTAAGTAGAACACGAAAAATCGACATGCTCGCGCGAAAAAAAGTTATTCGTGATTTACAGAAATTTTCAATTAGAAAAAGGCGGCCAAAGGAGCCCGCGATTGAATGGCAAACATTACCAGGAACGCGTTTCCGGCTTGAGCGGCGTCGCCGTCCGCGTAAACGCGCGTTGCATTATGGGTCGTTTCCAATTGTGACGTCACGAGTGACGTCACTCGCAACCGCGCGTTCTATTATGGGTCGCTTTCCATGACGACGTCACGAGTGAAGGTCACGAGGGTCACGAGAGAGAAGAAGGATGAGAGGGTACGGAGGAGGAGGAAGGGCATACCAGGCATACCCTCCTCCTCCTCAAGAGCTGCACTCTAATTCGGCATTACAGGAAGGTGTAGACGCCTTTCATTTTTATTTAAAATTTTCGGAAAATCGCTCATAACTTTTTATTCGGATAACGACAAGCTCTGAAACCGGCATGTTTTCCGAACCACTAGCTGCTCTACATCTGGGCTGGGGCCATTGTAGATTTTTTTTTTTCTGCGTTTTCTTTTTTAACATCTTGATATTTCTTTAAATAAAATGTAATCTCCAGGACGAATTGTGACACTCTTTTAGGTAATAGGGACCTTTAGCAAACCGTTGCCGTGCTCCGCGTACCGCACTACCGGTGCTACGAAAGCCTGCTGGAGAGCTAAATACTTTACTGCCCTCGTAAAGTATTTGGGAAGGCGTTGAAAACCCTCGCCTCCGACCGTCGTATTGCCTGATCGGGCGTCGGATAGGACGATTTCGTCGTACATGTGTTTTGCGCTGTAGTGCGGTACGTGGAGCACGGCAACGGTTTACTCAACGTTACTAGAACACTCAGTTGGGAAACTCGCCGTCGAAACTTGGGCTGCTGGCGTCCACCGAGACCGAGCTAAATACGACAACAGCGCCACTCTTTGTCATTTGTCTGTACTGTGGTCACCTTGAGCTTTTACATAGAATATTTTTGCGTAAAAACGTGTTAAAAACAATGGGAGAAGGCTCTTTTTGTATGAAATTTATTGGAGTTTAGTACAAAATGATGGGCGCGTGATGTTTTTAAAATCTTTAGTTTGCAGGGTTTTGCGGCACAATTAATATTGTTTTTATACAGCCATGCCTCAACGGTGCTTTCAGGTAGCGCGTCCCGACGTAGGTGCATTTTAACTTTTGTAGTAAGACGCGGCGCGTCCGCTGGGGAGACGGGGGTAGCACCCCTGTAACCTCCTCCGCTGTATCTGTTTCGGCTCCAAAATAGCCGATTAAAGCCAAAATAGAGGTAACGTACAGTTCCTCGAGTGGCTGCTGCGGGAGAAATGGAGGCGTTGTGTTCGTCATTAGCTCGGTTCTCGAGGACAGATCGGGGTGCACTTTTTCAGATAAGTCTCTATGGCAGTTTCCCAACTAAGTGTTTTAGTAACGTTGGGTTTACTGAAGGTCCCCAATGTAGACAAACCGGTCCTTTTACAAAAAAAAATATGAAGTGCTTTCTTGTTCAATGTTACGCTGCGGACGTTACATGCGGACGGAGTACTGAAACGCGTAGACCTAACCCTCCCCCGCCCTGTTCTCTCTCTTCCCCGTCAACCTAGGGAATGCGGAGATTTGGACGTAACTTGGGTTACGTCGGACGTACAGGCCCTTTCGAATTTAAATTTCGCGCCAATTGGACGTAGCCGATGCAAAATGGCCGCACGCCGCCGCCGAAGCCACCGCCGCAAACCCACGCCGACGCCACCGACCGAAAACGACTGCCACGCTGCCGCCGGTCGAGACAGCGGCATTAATTAACTTCTACCACTAAGAGAAGGGCCGAGGGGTTGTTATGTTATGAGCCGTCAAGGCGTCTGGCTTCTACGGCGGCGGACACCGCCCGCCGCTGTAGTCAGGGTGCTTATCCGTCACGGTGGCGGGAGGGGAGGCGCCGGCTGTCTGCTGGGAAACGAGCCAGGGGCCGTCCAGCGGCCAATGTGCAGGCCTTGGAACTGTTCCCCACCCCATTATAGGATTGGGAGTGTGGGGGATAATCGTCGTCTTGCCATTCCCAAACGTAAAGCTCCCTTTGTGGGAGAGCTTCGCTGGTCCGACCACAGGTCCGACTGCCGTCGGTCGCTTCAGGGGAGGCGCCGCCCACGGACTCCTCTTCTCCCTCAGGTGTCAACTAAAAACCCGACCGTTCGAGGGACGGTCGGACGGTCGTCTTCGATCTGATATTTCGCTCTGGAATAAACCTGTTAAGTTTTCCCGATGTGTTTCCCCGACTGACTGGCTCGGACGTCGTTCGCGAGAAAGGTTGGACGCCAGCGAGGTGGCCACGCTACCCGAGAGTCAAGGCTGGGCGTTGACACCTAACAGTGCTCAAGAGAGAATGCAACTAAACGAAACTTTCAATTACATATTTATTCTCCATGTTCGAATTGCAATTTTTAAGACAGCCGGCATGGATGGCTCATGCAATTTACACATGTAATAAAAGAAACCGACTTAGATATATCCGTAATAAATTTCTGGTCTATTACGGTTTCTAACATAACAAACGTCCGCATTTTTTTTTTTTGACTAATTTTGGAAATCTAGGAAATCGATGTCGTGTATTGCACCGAGTTAACTTCTCTGCAATACACGGTTTGCAAATATTTCCCTCGATATGGCTCTGCCACATGACACTATTGGTCGTAATGAGCAATGTGAACTCTCTGCACATTGATACCAATGATACATCACAGTGCACACTGGTGCTCATTAAATGCTACCCCCAAAGTCGGCTTCTTTGAAATTTTGTGTATCTTCCCCCACAGTGTGGCTTCTCTGCAGCATTTCCAATAGCGCCAATGAGTGAGGCGACAGTTTTGCTCACTGGTTCTACTTACAGATTCACGCTTATTGAGTTTGGTTCGGGATTTTTTTCCCTGCGCAAGAAGCAGACGAACTTAAGCATGAGCATGAGTGCCAAATTTCCCTTAATTGTAGCCAAGCAAGCATTTCCCTTAGAACGAAAGCGAAACAACTAGACACGGGGCTCATTTAATACATGTAAACAGAAACGCGAATATAGAAGACGCACTTGCACAGCGGTGGATCCGGCAGTTGACTCTCACCAAAATATTAAGTGTAATGGAAAGTGCTACTTCAGAGAACAAATCTCAACGGTAAGGTGATCGCCAGTAATCTCCTCTGTGTAAAATGCGAAAAAACGAGCAACGTCTTGTTATCGCGTCTCGCAGTGATTTATTTAGCGCTGCCCAATAATAATAAAAAAAAAACACCCATACACTTCTTGACGTGTTTAATTAACCTTATGTGCGCACAAATCGCACGATCAGTGTCACAAATATCCACGTGTGCCAGCGTAGGCGCGCGACAGGCACCGAAGGACGGAGCGCGACAAAACGAAACAAACGTTCTCTGCTGTTCCAGCTTTTGCTCCAAACACGCAGCCTCTCGAGCCCCTGCACTTCCGCTCACTTCCGGAAAAGCACGGGCTTTTTTTTTCTTTTTTTTTTTTAACTGATAATAAGCAGCATTTTATAATATATTTTACAAGAGTAATGAATATACTCAGAAGTTAGTAGACTGATATACTATTTTGAAATAAATAAAACAAAAACGTGTGTTTTTCACAGCGTTGGTTTTTTTCATTAGCTGCTCAAACGCTTCCTTTTCGTAACTTCCGGTCTCCTTCGGACTTGGAGCAGTGTGTTCGCAGTGTGCGCGGTGTGCGACTCTTGTGTGCGACGTTGCGGGTACAAAACGGCGTGGAAAGACTGGAGTTCGTCCGAATATGTGACGAGTTGCATGCACATTTCCAGCTTTCGCTTCGGTCCGATTCAACCGTCGACACCGCTTCTTCAGAGTCATGTTCCTGGGCCAGGTCATATCGGTTCTACGCCGGCCCCTGAGGCCGAACACGCACACGCGCTCCGACGCGATCACGGCGAGATCGGTCGCCGCAAACATCGTCACTCGCGAACTCTTTAAGCATAGCAACCTCTGCGCTCGCGATTTCGCGGCCAGTCGATTTGAGTGCAGACTGTCAAAGGAGCTGTGGCAGCGCATAACGGCCGAGGTGAACGAGCGACTCGTGATCCTAGGCGAGATCCTGGCGAAGCAGTGCAACTTCTATCTGGCCCATCGCATGCGGAGAGCCAACCAGATATGGAACCTCTACAGTCGTCTGTACACGGAGAAGACGCTCAAGACACTGGCTTTCAGGTTCCTCGACAGGCTCAGGAATCGGCCTCAGAAGCCTCTCGCGTTCCTCCTGGGCGCCGCGCTCTTCAAGTGGGAGCAAGAACGGATCACGGACAGCGAGATGAAGCGGTGAGGAGCCTCATGGCGCCGGCTATCTGCAGCGAAGCACCCCTCCTCTTTGCCCTCCACTTGCGGCTGTTTACGGGGCACCGTGCCCTCGGTTTGTCGCCTGTAGAGAAGCGTCGTGAAAGCTGCTCATGTCTCTTGTCAGTTACGGACGACTTCGCAACGTATTTGGTGCTTTCTCTCGAGAAAGGAAAAAAAAAAACAATACAAAGTGGAGCGAGCAGAAGTTTAAGTTAGGCTGTAACTTGAGCTCACCGGGCGAAACGCAATGCGATGTAATACATATGTTGAGTCACAGAAAACGGGAACGTTTGTAACAGGTATGTGCACGCTTGAGCTAGTCGAGAGGCCGCGGCTCGCGCAGTGCCCTACAAGCCGCCTCTGCGCGCACTGCGTTCATGGCGGTGCATGTCTAGGCGTTAAAACATTTCTCGACGAATGCTGGGTGGCGCTAAAAGCTCCGAAAAGCGGTTGACCAGAGAAATTACGTGGTATCGCAAAAATGAAGCTGCGATCTCGCACCCAACACCAACGTGTATGCTGCGTTTGTAGGTGCGCGTACCCGCCCTGTCTGTATGAAAGATTTGAAGTGAATGACTAAAAGGGGGGAGGAGGAGGAGGTGATGACGAGGGCATGTGTAAAGTGCCTTCTGTTTGAAACTCCAGCCTCCAGCATGTGCTGGTTGCCTTCCTCTGTGTTTCGGCTGTGTGTGTACCTACAAACTGAGCATTCCCTTTGGTGTTTCAACCATTTAGTGAAATGTGTGTTCATCTGAACCTGTATTCCCTATTCCACGCGTTTGTGAGAGAAAAAATAGCATTGTGAGTTTGTACTTTTTCATGCATTCATATGCATGCACACTGAGACAGCAGCGGTCAAAGGCCTCCCCTTGTTTTCGAAACGGGTATTTTGGCTTTTGGCCATCTCGAGTGTCATGGTGCCTGGCATTCAACTTGCTTACTTGCGCCAAGAGTTGCAACTTAGACTTGACAATTTGGAAACGTCTGTTGGAATTGTCCGTTGTCGACTTCCAGTCAAAGCAGTTCTCCCGACATTATTCAAACAGTGTGGCACCTATGGGTAATGCTTCAGAGTAATTTCCACTTCCTCACTTTTTGGTCCTGTAGGTGCATAGCCGAATTCGAAATTCTTTCCCAGAAGTGTGGCAATGCAAATGGTGTTGCCGCAAATGGGAACATGAATGGAAACGGCAGCGGCTGCATGAGCGACAATGCTAATGGCAGTGACAGCGCCAATGGAAGCAAACATGGCAATGGAAGCACATGCACCAACATGGCTGGCAACTGCAGTGAGCCTACCCTGCACCCCGAGGCATTCAAAGCGCACCTGCGTGAGGAGGGTTGGGAGCCCGTGGTGGAAAACAGCAAGATGTTCCTCTGGAGGCGCTGGATGCCAGAGACCTCGGGCTACGAATACAAGGGTGACAACTTCCTTCTCGTGTCCTCTTTTGTGTCTCAAAAAATCTGAAAGGGTTTGCTGCTTTGCCGATGCAATGTGGGAATAGTGTAAGCAAAACAAAAAAGAGAGGCTAATTGCACATTTCTATAGGTTGAGTATAATGGAAAATGTTTAGGTTTGTAATTCTGTAGTTTCCTCGTTTTTTTTTTTTTTTTTTTTTTTTTTTATATAGAATCTTGCTTTCAGAGGTCAAAGCAGCTGCATTTGTCGCTTGGCAGTAGTGCCTTGGTATACTCTGGTGTATCTTGATTTCACTGATTGTCTGTTAAAATTTGATGGAACTTGCTTTACTCGCAGCACAAGAGTTTTTCGAGAATATTTTTTGTGAATGCTGCGGTTATGGAAATGGTTCTTTGCTTTATCGCTTGTGTTTGTTTCTATTTACCTTATCATTGGGAGGCATTTTGGATGCACTTCAAGTATAACAGGTTATGGATTTGAGCAAGCGAGGTATTAAAAGATGGGCCTGTACACAGCTGTGACAATTGGTCAAGTTGCCATATTCAGAGAAAGCTTTCATTGTTGGTGCAATGAAGTTCGAGCCTAAGATCCCACAGTGAGATCTATGATAATTTTTTGACATCATGCCCTGTGAATTAGCCTTTATTTATGCAGCTGCTGTGTCACGTCATGTCTGATAGCTGAACTCTAATGTTCATTTTATATTTATGTTATTAATTGCAGTTAAATCTGCTCTTTGGTGTTGCTTTAAAGGTCATATTGTCAATTGAAAATGCTACATGGTATTGCATGCAAACTCAGCTTGTTTTTTTTATATGGTTGCTGCATCAACCTACGTAGTGAACCAGCACAACCAGTTTACTTTTGCCTAAACCCAGGTACGAGAAAATACAGGAAAGGGCGATGCATGCAGGTCCTTGTACGCTCTGCTCTTTTACTGTGCTACTTCGATCTCAGGTTTTTGCAGTGTTGACAGTTCACCAGCTTGCCTATGCCTTCAGTGTTCTCTTATGAGGCGTATGTGGTGGTTATTTCTGTTTGTGCAGTGTTTGGAACCTTCTATGACATCCCTGCGAGGGCTTTTTTCAGCGTCCAGGTATGTGCTCTCGGCATTCTTACTTTAATTATTTACTGCAGTCGACATATTCATTTGATAAATTTTTCACAATTATTTCTAATGCATGAAAACTAAGGGATTAGGAAATATTGATTGTTTTACAGGTGTATAAAGGTATTGTGAGAAAATGTTTGTGCTCCTAAAAAGTGTTGTAGTTTCTAATGAATTTTTAAGTCGGGTAATTTTTTTCAATGAAAGTTTCCCGGCTTGTATGGTTTTAGAAGTTTCTTGGTCTTGCCGTGTTGTCATTTCTTGTAGTGAAATGTGCAGGCATGAGCCTAGTGCCGTGTTGCTGCTCATAGTTGCAGGAAGGGTCTGGTTAGGTGCCATGCTTTGTAAATTCAAATATACTTGGGAGTTGCTGCTGAGCTGCTATTTTTACCTCTTGGAGTGTGTAGCCTTCATGTGTGATTTTGGTTTATGAAGTACCTACATGCACTGGCGTCATGAGGGTCAGCGGCACCCGGGGCAATAACCCGACCGTGGACGATCGTGCAGTTCTGTCTCTCCACTTTTCGAGGCCTTAATTCTTTGATCCCAGCATCCAGTCATACTCTCATCGATTGCCCAACTCCCATTGATAGCGCACGATAGGTTGAGAATTTTTTCTCAGTTTCTTTCTGTATCACCAGGAACTCAATTACAGCTAGTTGTTTGGGATGCGTGTCAGATGCAATGATAATAAAATTATAAACATGAATAAAGGAAACATCAATGTTGCAACCTGTAAATTTTCATAAAATTATCTTTACTTTTGGATGAAAAAAAAAAGAAAGAAAATGTAGGGCATTACTTTTTGAGTAACCCTCATATTTCTTTTTGAGGAGAAGCTCCGTGTGTTTATTTGTGTTTTCTTCTCTTAATTTTTTCACACCTAAGCCATTGTAATCCCACCAATGAACACCCCTTGATAGCGAGGCCGTAGTGCCGAAGCTTCTACGTCACCTAGCAGGGGCCCCCACAGATTGAACATGAGTGCTTCATCAGCATTCAGCTGGGACTCCGTTCTCACTGATCAAACATGCTGAACGCTGACACAGCGCTCGTGTTCGATTTGTGCTGGCCTCCAGTGGGCGATGTAGAAAGTCTAGCACTGCAGCCACCTAGGAGGTGTTGCATGAATCCAGGCTACACTCTCTCATGTCTCTCTTTGTCTTGACTTTTCTGCTTTCCTCATAGTTTCTCTCCCTGTCCCTGCCTTCTCCATCTCCAGATCTTTGTTCCCCCTTCTCTTCAAAGTGTGCTCACTCATTTGTTTTCCCAACTATGACCGAGCCATCCCGACTTCCCTTGTTAGTTCTTTCTTCTTTCACCACACGTCTACCTGGTCATCAGCTAACCTGTTGGGTTGACCGCCTGTGGGCTGTCCGTGGCGTTTCTTGCACCCCACGACCTTTATTTGACCTCTCTCCAGTGTATCAGGCACAATGATGAGATTACTGCACCTTTTGTGGCAAACTGCACACCGTGCTACTTCCTGCTACATTTCACCGAAATGGGAAGAAATAGTGCCAGCATAGTGCCAGCAATACTGAAAGGCACTATTTCACTTCTAGATCGTTGCAGTGGGCTTGTTGCTCATCTTAATATTTTAGATTATTAATTCGAGTAACATGCCATTAGATTTGATCTTCATATCTTGCACTGAGACTATTCGGGAGTTCCGCAATATTTGTCATTGTTTGTGGTCCGTTTGGGTGTGTTAGCTCCATTGATTGAACTTCTCACTGTGCACTAATGTACTGCAAGAATGGGACTTCTGCAACTACAGGGGAGGTGACACCACTCAAATGTGAATGAGAAGCGGGAAGCTGCCACCTATCCAAGTGTGCAGCGAAAACTGCCGCAGCCTGGCAGCCTAAATGTGAAAACTGGGAATTAAGTGCATGAGGTTGGAGTGGCAAATACATTGCAAACCTGCATATTTCGCTACACCGCAGTGTGGCCGCATGATAAGGAAAAAAAAAAGCTTTTCTTCAGACCCGGAGGGTGCATGTGCATAAATGCTGGTGTGGGGATTTTGCAGTAGAAGTCAAAATAAATTGGCGACTAATATATATGACATCCTGACAAGTTGTGTGCATCATTGTTCGTGATTTTGTTTGCAAATTCAAGAAAGATTTAGGAAAGGATACTTAGCTATGGTGAGATGATCTTTAAAAAAAAGTATGCTAGATACATACATACACACAAGATAATTTATTCAAGACTACAACATTGTCTTGGGGACATGGCTAAAGGCAGTAGGTGTCTGACGAAGCCATGTCACCCCTTCGACTACAGCGGCATAACATTGCATGTCTGGCGTAGCTAGGTGGAACTATGGGTTTAATTTATATGCAAAATTCCTAGCTTAGTTATTACCCCTGTATAGAACTCCAACTGTTCAAGTGCACAGTCTGTATAAATAAAATTAAAACAAAATGACCTTAATTTTAAGTAATGTGCAAATGGATGCTCATGAGTAGTCTTCACGAGTTGATGTGAATTTTTAAGAAAGCATATTTATTGATTGCATTCTGATTTTGCATAATCATTAGGGCTGGGAAATTGATCGATTAACCTATTGATTAATGTTTTAATCGCAATTAAATATTTTAACCCGTTAATCGGTAAAATTGTGTCGAACCAAAAGAAAGTAAAAATTAAATGCTTTCACCACTAAGACTATGACGAGTACACCTGTATGAAGGTCAAGCTTTGAGTGAAATTTTAGCCTAAAATAAACAGTAGGGGTGAGATTTGTAACTCCAGACAGGGGGGGGGGGGGGGGGGGGTGTAGAAGGTTACATGCATCCTGGCCACTTCAACGCTGTTCGAGTATTTGTGTAGGGTAGCAGCGACAATTGTGAACAATAAAAGGAGGTCGCTCTTGCCCGAGAATATCAACGAACCTCTTTGCCTCATGCAGCTCTGTGAGCGTGGGTGTCTGAACTGTTCTTAACTACTCATCGAGATTTATTTATTTATTTATTTATTTCATAATACCTTGAAGGCCCCGTTACAGTGCATTACACAAGGGATGGGACACTAAAAGTTTCAGTGTGAAGCGTACTGAGCTTCAACTAATTTATTTACACTATTTACATTATGTTAAATCTGAGACGTGACGAGCCGATCTTGCGGGTGCCGTTGTTCCTCGATGTCTGTCTTGTCTCGAGTGCCGAGAGAGGCCGTGATCGCGCGGGCACTTCTTTCGCGCTTCGCTGGGGGCCGCTACAAATGTAAAAAACAGTAATACAAGCTCGTGAGCAGGAACACAATGAATGACAAACTGAACATTTCAATATAGAACATAGTAATACAAACCCGTGAGCAGCAATAAAAATACAAATAAACACAAAAAAAAAGTAAATGAAGGGCACGATATTAACATGTTAAGACTCAGCATTATTTGCACAGGGATCTAAATGTTCACCTAGTAACTTTTTAAATACGTCCACATTGTTAGTTGTAACCATACCTTGGCAAACCTCACTCATGAGGGCCCTCACTCACCCTCACTCACCCTCATCTTCACAGGTGAGGTGAGGGTGAGTGAGTTTCTGAACCAGGAAAATTCATGAGTGTGAGGGTGAGTGAGGGCTGTGAGGGCGGTGAGGGCCGTGAGGGCGGTGAGGGCCGTGAGGGCCGTGAGGGCGGTAAGGGGTATGAGGACCATGCGTGCGTGAGGGGCGTGAGGGCCGTGAGTGCGTGAGTGGTGTGAGGGCGGTGAGTGCGTGAGGGGTGTGAGGGCCATGAGTGCGGTGAGGGCAGTGAGTGGCATGAGAGGCGTGAGGGCCGTGAGGGCGGTCAGTGCATGAGGTGTGTGAGGGCCATGAGTGCGGTGATTGCGTGAGGCCCCCTTCAGATCGAGCATCTTTCTCAGCAATTTTGGTGTTAATGGCGGGTTGTTCTCTAGTTTTCCCTAGATCGACACGAATTGCTGAGATCGGGTGCGGCTCGGAATAAGCAAGCAACTCGGAGCAATTCGAATGCGTTTGAAGCGGCTGCATCCAATCAGGGACGCAAAATTTTCATGTGATACCTCGTGCCGGTGGTGATGACACCGAAAGACTTAATTCTGGTTTGAAATCGATCGTTTTTTTGGAAATAAACTGTTTCAGAAAGGTGCATTAGTATTCCTAACGAGATTTAAATGCATAAAAACACGTTTATAACGCGTAATTGTGTCTAAATAGTGCAAGAAAAATAAAATTTTATTATGACAATGGCAAATTGCAGCAATTGGTTGCTGCGTGTGATCGCGGGCGGCCCGTGTTGCTGGTGTTGTGACGTAAGGTTTCTGGGCGAATTTGCCCTATCTGAAGCTGGCCTGAGTGGCGTAAGGGCCATCAGTGCATGAGGGGCGTGAGGGGTGTGAGGGCCGCAAGGGCGGTGAGGCGCGTGAGGGCGGTGAGTGGCGTGAGGGCGGTGAGTGGGCGTGAGGGCGGTGAGTGGCGTGAGGGCGGTGAGTGGCGTGAAGGCGGTGAGTGGCGTGAGGGCTATGAGTGCGTGAGGGCCGTGAGGGCGGTGAGGGCCGTGAGGGCGGTGAGGGCCGTGAGGGCGGTGAGTGGCGTGAGGGCGGTGAGTGGCGTGAGGGCCGTGAGTGGCGTGAGGGCGGTGAGTGAGTGAGGGGCGTGAGGGCAGTGAGGGGCGTGAGTGCGTGAGGGCCGTGAGGTTCAGTGAGGGTGAGTGAAGGGCTGAAGGTGAGTGTGACTGTGAGGGTGAGGGTGAGTGAGGGGCTGAATGTGAGTGTAGCTGTGAGGGTGTGTGAGGGGCTTAGGTGAGTGTGGCTGTGAGGGTGAGGGTGAGTGAGGGCGACCTAAAATGCCGACCTCTGGTTGTAACTATGTTATCAGGTAAAGCATTCCATTCTACTAATATTGTCAAAGGAAGAAAAGAATTGGCGTAGGAGGTGGTGGAGGCAAATATAGGCTCTATTTTACAGCTGTTGTCTAGTCTTGGGAAAAACGAAATGGGACGTGGGAGTAAAATTT